TAGAACGAGAGTTCAGTTCAGTTCCAGTCTGTTAAAAACACCATCCTTTTTAGGAATGACAGTTCATATGCTTGATGATAAGATAGCATTGTTTGATATTTCTATTAAATATTTAATACATCGGTATCTATCTATGTTTTGATGTAGATTTGGAGTCAGATATATGGAGTAGGAAAATAAACTACTGTCTAAGAATGTCAAAGTCAGTGTTTTTGTTTTTTTGTATTTGTGTTGCTGGGAAATTGGATTTTGGGAAAAATGGTTTCATGGGCTCGACTTGCTTTTTAAAAAGAGGCCTTCCACATTTTTATAGATATATTTGTGAAAAATATATTGTAAGATTGTAACACTTATGTATTTTATCTGTTATGCAAAAAAGTCACCCTAAAAATATTAGTTCACCAATTACATGTTTTGAGTATAACTTGGTATGCTGTGTCTGGTTGTTTGTCTTGGTCTAGAGATGTTTCTTAAAAGAACATCAAACGTTCAAGTTGTGCACCCACCCTGTTTTTCTGTTTTTCTTCTCACTTTGATGCCTCATTTAAATCTGTCTGTGGTTTCCAGGCGTGCTCCTGCTGTGAGAGCGCCTTAGGGGCAGTAGCGGCGGTGGTGGAGGCGGCTGTGGCAGAGGATCAGCCAGATCTGGACATCGGTGATACAGAGACGCGGGAGGTCAGCTGCTAGCGGAGGCCCAGAGAAGAACCTTCAAACACAGTCATCATTTCCTGCCACAACCCTTCTCCTGGCTCCAGCTCTCAGACACAACCAGCCAGACAATAAACGGCTCAAGATTTTCAGAGTGACTTTCATTACATGTCAGCCTCTTGTTCTGCATGACTGTGAAGAGAAACTTTTGTAGAGGGACCTACTTTGCAAAAAGCAACATGCAAGGCCTTTGCGCTTCACAAAAAAATCTTCATTACTGTTTTTGTCTTGCAGTTTGATGAGTTGTACCTGGTAAGATGCCGGGGAAACTGGCTCAAACAGTCAAGACCTTTGTAGAATGTGAATATATTTTATTTTATTTTAAAGTACTTTAGGATTTTTGGTGCTAGCAGGGCTTGTTGGGCTCTATGTTCTTTCATTTGTCATTTGTTGAGTTTTATGCACTGATTAGGACACGTAGAGCCGAATACGGGAAATACAATATGTCCTACAGTACACAGCACAGTAGAGGTCAAAGAAACACCGGCCATCAGGATGTGGCTCAGTGATGTACCGACTGTTCTTCACTTGATTGATTTCAGTATTTTGTGATGTCATTTCCTCAGTTACAAAAACACTGTGCTACGTCAGCATGCGGCGAAAACAGGTGGAGAGTTTTTAAGTTAGTTTCAGTCTCACCTGTCATACATACCCATCGAGCAACAAATGAACGCACAAGTGCACTTTATGGGCTGCACTGGAAGAAGAAGAAAACAGGAATGAGAAGTCTCTGCGTCTGCTTCATTTGGTCTAATTTGTTTCTGGCGTTGCATACAGTATCGTCAGTGAGCAGGCACGAACTCACCGACAGTGTCTGAAGCTTTTCACCTCCTCCATCCTCACCAGGGTTGGAAGACGTACTCTGATCCTAACTTGAGCAAAAGTGCTAAAATTACAATTCAAAGAAACTCCATTTGCTTAGGCAAATGTATTATTAGCATATACTTGAAGTATCACAAGTATTATTTATGCAATGTATTATATTTGTTATCACATTTGACTTATGTAAAGTTACTGATCTGTGATCACGATGGAGGTGGTGAAAACATTTTAGACTGGTGAAAACACAGAAAAAGACAATCAGGTGCAACACATACTATAAGCTCCATGCATTCACCAGCCCATCATGTTATATCATTTCTGATAGAAAATTTAAACATCAAGTGACATAACATTTAATATTTAAATATCCCCTCTCTCTGACATTTGGAGCATCCTGTAATGCAGCTTTAAGTGTTCACTCTTTTTGCATAATTTCATTCATCGGTTTCTCACTAGACATGGCATTTGTTTCTGTATCAGCTATGAAACGGTGACTTATTTTGCAGATGCCTCTCATTTAAAGAAGCAGCTGATTTCAGTGCTTGTGTGAATGTTTGTATCAGTCTTTGAGTCTGAGCAGATGTATTTTTACATACAATACTTGTCTCTGTATAAACAGATTTATGTGTTTTTAAGTTGTGATGGAAAATCCATCTTAAAAAGCAAGTAGGACCAAGATTATGAATATTTATTGTAAATACTATTTTAAAAATGTGAGTTGTGTCAGTAGTAGGACAATTCCCACCATGGACTAGAAAATACCAGCGTAGTATGCTGTTAATGGTGGGTGTTGAATATAAAATGGAGAAAATATGGATGTTTTCCCCAGTTTTAAAAGTGTGCCACATGACACTTGAACTGGTCTGATGTTGCCCCTCATAAATATGGAGAAGAGCATCCTGTGGAAGCGACTGGAGCTCATTACCGTTCAGAACAAACGTGTGGTAGCTTCAGAAGTCAGTTTAGGGTTATTGCACGGGTATAAAGCAGCTCAGACAGATGTCAGGTTACTGTGTGGAGAGCTCTCTTTCACTTTGAAGCGTATGTTGTCATTTGAGAGGAAACTGCTCTTTCTCAGCGACTTGAATATTTCTTGATTTTGTCATTTGTCTTTCTGTTATTTGAACAGACACTGACAAGAATGCACCTTTTACTTTTTTTTTTCATTTGTATTTTATTCCCGTTTATTTTCAATGGAGATTTTTCTGTTAAATTTTCTCAAAATAAAATATTGTCTAATTTACAGCGAAGTGAAGTGCGTTGTGTAATGTTTGGATATAAAAAAGTTTCTTTCTCTCATTTTGACGTTTGACAGGTCAGCGACACGTTACACTGGACAAATACTAGTGATTTGAGATCGCAGCTGTTTAAGGCCGATGACCTGTTAATGAGTGTGAACGACTTAATAAACTATTGCCTATTTGCAGCAGATCGATGCTTGACAAACAGTGTGGAGGCATGAACACCAACATCACAATGTTGCATCAGCTCAAAAAAATGTAAGTACTCGTTATATTGTTTTGCTTAAGTCTAAAAAGAAGAGCCTCTGGGGAAACATAAGAATATAATAACAGCCACTACACTGCATTTTTAAATGAGGAAGGTAGGTGTAATGTTTAAAGAGATACTAAGGTTATTTGTTCTCTATCCTAAAGTCGTGACATTCACCTTCTTGATGGAAATGTCTGTCCGACCACTGAAACAATAGCTGGGATGTACACGGACAGACGGTCAGCTCCACGGCTGAGCAGGCCTGATCAAAGCGACCCCCCCCCCACCTCTCCACTGTTCACACCTTCATACTTGTTCCAAATTGAGTCCGAGGTGCGAAGATTTACAATCTGCCCTCCTGCAGCGGCCATTTACACCTCTAGGAACCCTGCAAATCCGGTCTAGTCACCTCACAGACACACATCTGAATCAAGTTCATCATCCTGGGTCAACATGGTGATTTCTAAAAATCCTCTTAGGAGTTTAATAGTTAGGAGCTTGCCAGCTGGAGTAAAGCATTTATTTAATTAAAAGTATCACTACCACAATGTAAAAATAATACCCTTCCATTGAGCATTATGTCACAAAGTTTACATTATATTATAGTTATATTTTATATTTGATTGATATTATTGATATGTTGACTTGTAAGCAGCAGTTTGTATCCACAAAAGTCTCAATCTTCAAAGTAGCCTAACCATTAAGTACAGTTGTCAGATATATGTAATGGAGTAAAAAGTGCAATGTTTCCCTCTGAAATGTAGTTAAGTAGAACTATCAAGTAGTATAAAATGGAAATAATCATGTGAAATACAAATAGCAAAATGCAATAGCTAGTCAAGGCAGTTGTTTTTACTTTAAAGTTACAGTTTAATCTCTGATGTATCATTTTATAAATGGATCATGTATGTTTTGTTAGCACAGTCTTAATCTGCAAAGTAACTAGGAACTTTAACTGTCAGATAAATGCAGTGGGTGAAAGAACTCCAGTATATTTATACCTGAAATGTAGTGGGGTGTAAGTTTAAAGAAGCATAACATACACACATAGTACAAGTACCTTAAAATTGTACTTTATTGCAGCACTTATGTACTTAGTTACTTCCCAGTGCTGGAAATGTGTCACGTCAGTCAAGAGAAATACTCTACAAATAATCGCACGCTCACTGTATTAATCATTTTCTTGTCATTTCACCAAAGATCCCTCTCAGTGGATGTGTTTTAAGTGTAAAAAATGACACTTGGAGTGGACATCACAGGAACACCAGACGAGACATTTGACTATAGACGGATTGTTCAGGATTGCTGTCTTTTCGTATTCATTTGTAGCTGTAGGAGCTGATGGTGGAGAGGCAGAGCCCTGTCTGTGGCTCTCACCAGGACCACACAGGTCACGTCTGAGACGCAGACACAAGCTTTCAAAGTGTCTCTTTGAATCAGCATGGGTCTGTTGATGCCATTCTCCTGCCGGTATAAAATGGTATGAACAGACTTTTATTGATTATTGGTAAATTAATACATTTTACATTTTACTATTTGGCAAATTTCTACATATTTTTATTCTCCTGCATGAAAGCCCCATATACAGTATAATAAAGTACCATATAATGTAAAACTGACAAAAAAAAAAAAACTGTGGTGACTTTGTTACTGAAGAGCCCAGAGTCATTACTGCACAAGTTATTTGTGCCCAAGTTATTTTTAAATCTCTACCATGAAAAGCTGAAGTTATAAAACCCATTTGCCAAATCCTCAGTTAGGCCTATATAAGGAGTGAGTGGATTACTCATTTCACACCTCACAAATGTCTACGATGTGCTGAGGGATCTTGGAGAGAGAGTGCACACAAATGGCCCACAATTGCAGAGTAATAACTAACATGTTGAAAACAGCTGTGGGTGGGTGGTTAGTGGGATCGTTGTGTGTGAAATGTGTCTTTTATGAAGCTGCTGAAAAAAATCTAATTTAAAACAAGTAACTTGTCCAAAAGATATTTATTAAAATGTTGAAACGTAGGGAAACCAGATGAGGTAGTCTACCAACAGCCATTTCACATGTATAAATACAAAGTTAAAGACATCCTAAATAAGAAATAATTTACACACAGCTAAAAATGCATTTCTAACGGGACAGCTATCCTTTATACAGCCCAGTCATATCCAACAAGTAAATATTTACATATGCATTTACTCCCTTCACTGAAGGCAGGCCTATACAAAGCCAATACACTTCCAAATGAAGACCCTAAAGGTCACTGACCTCTGCAAAACAGATTTAATTACATACTTTATTTATTAAATACATTTTAGTTTAATTGTAGTTCCAGAATAATTTTACAAAGAGCTTCTCAGATGCCTTTTCAACAAGTTTTAAAGTTGTCATCTCAGCAGTGTCTTTGTCATGTACTGATGCCTATCCCACACAACATCCTACCACAAAGCAGTAAATCATCTACTATAGTTTAAAACATGCTACTCCGTTTTAGCCGGTCTACCAGGGTCTCCACACTGACTTGGAGTAAGTAAAAGAAGGCAAGCTCAACACATCCTGGCCGTCAGGCTCCTCTGAAGACGATATATGGCTTTGCTCTGAGTCTGTCTCATCCAAGTCAGAGCAGAGGTCATCGGTGGAGGTGCTGGAAGGGGCCGGGGACACCAGGGCCGTGTACATGCTTTCAGACAGGGACCAAGTGCTGTTACTGTCCGCAACGGTGTCCGGCAGAATCAGCCGGAGGCGGTCCTCGTCGTTCAAGGGCATGCTCTCCAGGAGGTGGTTTAACAGCTCCGCGGCATCTGTTGGGTCAATTCCCGGGCAGCTGGACACAAAAGTATGCACGTCATGCATACACTGGATGTAACCTGCAGCAAACCGCTCACAGGCCTCCCGGTTCACAGCGTCCACTTCTACGAAAAAATAAATTGTTAGCTCAGCAACTAGACTAATGAAACTTAAACGTGAACTGCCAATGCGTCACAAACGTCCAGTTCTCTGTTCTGATTGGCTGACCCACAGTTGAGGATGTACACGCGCACCTGTGGCCGCAGTACAATTGATTGGAATATTGACACGCTGACCGTTAAAAACTACCTAGTTTTAAATAATCATATTGCTCGCTACGTAACTTTAACGTTTAACTGTTACGGTTCTGAATTTTTGGTGAAAAGTAAAACATTTGCTGAACCTTAATGGCATACTTCCGAGTTAATATTAATGTTAAATGTTTACCTTGGGCACGGTTTTTCAGGATGCTCTCCACTCGTTTCACTGTCATCTCCAGCACCTCGGCATTCTCCATCTTTGATTGCAACTGCGCCAGGAGACAAAAAATAGTAAGCAACAAACGCTAACAACACAAACTAGCTAAATTAGCACATACCTGTCTACTTCATTTTAGGGATAATGCCACATAAAGCCTAGAAATTGATCCATATTGTCTTACGTCTGTGTCCGCGATGAGAACTCTGAGTTCTTGTAAACTTTCATTGATGCGAGCTCTTCTTTTCTTCTCGACCAGAGGTTTCCTCATCTGCCAAAACAGTGAGGAAGATGTTTTTTCATTTAGCTGCCAAGTTAAAACATAAATTTCATAATTAAGTGTTCACGTAGGCCCTTACCTTTCTGTCAGACTTGACCTCACTGCAGTTATCACCTCTGTCTATTCCGTTTGTCTTGTTACGGATGGGGGCCATGTTGTTGAAGTTTAACCCAGGCGCTGCCAGAAGCCCACTGAACTGGAGGTCGGTTTGTAATCCAAAAAGCCGTTACAGCTCGTCAATGGGAACAGATGGCCGAGCGATCCCAGCGGCCAACAAAGCTTGTAGAGAGACTGGGCTCGTTAGTACTGCTCCGAGGGGGCCCGTACTTGGTATATACGACGGTTCATTTACATGTGAATAGGTGAACTAGCTACTAGAGACACACCGAGGGCGCGCAACGCTCGTACCCGCCAATCACCAATGGTCATGTTAGCTATTGTCGCTGCGCCTGTCTGAACCATGCAGATCTAGAGATGAATAACATGAAGTAAAAGTTGGACCAAATATTGTCAACAACCTCTGTAGTTACAGCTGACATAAATAAAGTACAACTGAAACAGTGGATACAATCAAACATTTACTTTGGATAATAAAAATCTTAAAAATAAAACTATAGTCTAAGGTCCAAATGTATCTTATTTTAAACAATCTACTTACAGAATAAATAATATTAACGATAATATTAACTCTGGGGCATTTGCCCCTTTAATGTTTGCATCCCTAAGCACTGCCCTTTAAAGAGTGTTCACCACTATAGGCCATATATCTGCCAATTCTCACATTACATCATTAGTCAGATAGGCCAATTTCATGCTTGATTGTGATCCATCAGTCTACCTATGAGGTCTAGACTAATGCACTACTTGTTAAAAAAAAACTGAATTGGAAAATATGAGCCAGTTGTCAAGTGCACCACTCTCCGGTGTAAAGAGTTTAAAGAGCCTGAGCGCTGTGGAAATGAACAAGCAGCCTGAAACAGTGCTGGGTCTATTGCAGTGGCAACCAAAAAAGAGATCATTCTTGTATTTAGAGTGTTTCATTAGACACTTGTACTGCCTATTCTTGTAAATTTGTAAGTAGCACTTCATAGATTTTTTTTATTGTTCGCTATTGCTATCATCAACTCAGATGTCCTATGTTGTCCAAATTCAACACACTTTATGGCTTATAGTCTGTAGTTAGTCATTTGGAAACACTGTCATGACTACTTACATATGGTGACAAGGGTTGTGTGTATGTCTGTGCAAATTTGCATGTGTTGTGTAATTTGCATTTGGAGGGGGGATATGCACTAGTACATGTAGTTTGGTTTGTAGTGATTTCCACTGTAACATTTGTACTGTTTCAGTACACTGCTGATGGGTGTTAGGGGATGAAGGTGACTGTAAGGTTTTAGTTAGTTTCATTACAGAAAAAAATTAACAATTATGGCTGATCATTTTACCTCAAATAAGATTCATAAATCTTTAAATTATCTACAGCCCCAAGACAGCCCTTTGTAACCACAGCTAGTGACATATTTATGAAATGTAAGATTAGATTTAACGTCCATTTACAGATTTATATAGGCTAATACAAAATGCTAACATTTCATTGTAATAGGCCCACATTATACTAGACATTTACCACTCAAATTAAGGCTCAAATACTTAATAAAACTGTACAATGTGTATGCATTACACGCCTTAATGAGCCCATGAATAATCGATCATTATTATTACTATCATTAGTATCAGTAGTAGTGACCTAGTATTAACTTTGTTGCAGTCTAGTAGCTGACTGAGAGTTTGAAACGTTCCTACATTTCCGGATGATAGTGTTGAGAACATGGTTGAGAAAAGGAGATGCAGCTTTAAATAAAATACGGAAAGCACTACCATATCTGGCACTTGCCTTCACAATAAAGGCATAACATATTCTAATATCAACAAAACGGGAGATCAAATGGGAATTTCCCATCATAGATGGGCTGAAACTTTTAACTATATTTATCTGTATGCCAAAGAACCCACAAACTGTGCATCTTGTGCTGGATTAAAAAAATTTAGCCGGACTTGAATTTATTTTGACAGCGGCGAGGCGGCTTTTCCTTCAGACCCACACAGTGCTTGTTCGTCAGAGAAGACGCTCTTCTGAGGTCACCGAGTCCCGGGGGCGACACTGGTTCGCCGCTATATAATCTTCCCGGCACAGTGGATGAAACCAGCGCACTGAATCAGAAACGAGACTAAGCAAATATACATTGAACAATCAAACATGGTGAAGATAACTTTCCAGCCAGTCACGGCGCAGAAGCCTGAAAAAGAGAGCGATGGAGACAAGATCATTATACCCCAGGCTCACGTGAGTTTGCACTTTGTCTTTCTTTATTTCTTATTGTGGCATTTGTCTTGTGTCTTTGTACAGTGTAGGAGTATTTATTAATTTTGCATATGTATAGCTAACTGTTTATTCTTTCCTGTGATATTTGGTTTGTCTGTACATCTATCATCATGTCACTTGATGGAATTTAATTTAATACTGGTAACATCAAGTCTTCTTAATTATGCGAAAACCCTGATTTATAAAGCAAAGCTAAAATCTTTATGCAACTGAATAGATTAACATCACGATCACACTGCAGTTTATTATTATGGTTGTTGCTGGTGCAGCTATGACAGCAATATTTCTCAAGGAATAAAATCAGAGTTTGCAATAAGGTTCTAATAACAATGGAACAGATCAAACATTGCAGACCATCCCGGCCCAGCCTGGGGATGTTGACATTACGTCACCATGTTTGGCCACTGTTAGGACACACTGCAGATGGCTGTCCAGTGTGTGCCTTCAGCAGAATATGACACCATCCCCCCAAGTAGTTTATTAAGTATTCATGTAGACAAGAAAAAAACGTCAATTTTCTCTGATAAGCGGCACGTGTGAAAACAGTCTCGGTCCCACCAACGATTTTGTTGAAATGAGAAAACAACAGAGATATCAGATGCGGTCACTGCAGCAGTCAGTGATGTCACGAGGTGTTACACCACGTGAATCCTGTAGGTAGGGCCTGAGAGGCAATAGCCTATCTGAGAGTGGTAATCCAGGATTACTGTGATGTGCCGTATACAAACAGTGGATATGGTTTAAAGCTTTTTATTCTCTCTCAAAATTGGCATCTATGAAAGGAAATTTAGGAAAATCAGAAGTCAAAATTGACAAAAATATTGACAAATACTTAAATTTAATACTTATGAGTTACATTGGCAACTGATGCCCTGAACCTAATTTGCAAAATGGCAGATCCCAGGTCTTCAACCAGTGTTAGAACAATTTGAACAGAATGAGGCTGTGCTTTTAAGTAGATAGATAGATAGATAGATAGATAGATAGATAGATAGATAGATAGATAGATAGATAGATAGATAGATAGAGTACTTTATTGTGCATATGCCATGATCTTGACTGTTAAAACAAGTCTTAAATTAGCCTGATCATGTTATTTCTGAGCTGGATTTGTAGAATGGCTTGATTTAGCTGGAATGAACTGTTCAGGAAGACTCTTTTCTGGACTACCTCCCAGGAGTTATAAATAATTAGATATCTGGCACATAATGGATGTATGCATGTCTAAGCAGCATCCTTTTTTTCGTACACTGTGCACAGTGAATACCAGCTGATGACGCATCCATCACTTCAGCAAACACATTTTTTCACCTGTTTGTTACGTCAACATAAGTATAACACATGATCTCAAAGGCTGTGTGGATTCCGATTGGCTGCAACAGTAAGATAGGCGTCAGAGCTAATGTGTGTAGATCTATTAATATGTCCGCCTCTGCTGAGGGACTCCTGCTCCACGTAGTTGTTCTCATTTTGACTCCCACTTAGGGCGCTAGAGACCTAACTGCAAATATGGAGCATGGAAGTAGGCCTCTAAGAATAGACCCAGACAGCCACGTGCCAGCATCTTCGTCAGAGCCTGGCACAATCAGCTCTCCCTGCTTCCGTTCTCCATAGCAACAGTAGTAGGGAGAGGCAGCAGATTGACTGAGAGACTGTGGGTGGGCATCTGGCATGTCTCATTCCAGACCATCCTACGTCTACCAGATCCCCTCACTTGACTAACGACTTGGCAACTGCCTCCTGTCAGAATTAACTCTGTTACAATTTTGTACAGGAAAGACTTGCAGTGTGAGAGGACATTACGTCCACTGATGCTCCATCCTAGAACTGTCCTTTGCATCATTTTACACATATTTTGTATTATTGGAAAACTTGCGGTCTTCACTAGAATTGAAAACAAAACTTTGTATATTTTAACACAATACTACGTAATACCATGCTAAAAGATCCAGGTTAAGTTCATACCACAGTCTCCTGGTTAACTAACTTTACCTTGTTGTCCCTGATCTGTCTTCTAACCAAACTGTTTTCTCTCTTTACAGGGGCAGCCGGTTCTTCCTGTCAGGGCCAAAAAGCCTTTTCCAACTGGCCTGTGCTGCCTCACCCTTGGCCTGGTGGTTTTCATGTCAGGACTGGTGCTGGCCTCCGTCTATGTCTATCGCTACTACTTTATACCTCAGGTCAGTTCACTCTACCTCCCTCTTCTTACTTTATCAACAGTACAGAATACAAAAAGTTATTTACACATGCTAACTCGGCTCTGTTGCATCCCATTAGCAGATCCCAGAAGACAGCTTGTTCCATTGCCGGGTTGTCTATGAGGACTCTGTCTATGCTCCTCTGAGGGGGCGGCAAGAACTCGAGGAGAATGTTGGCATCTACCTTGACGATAACTATGAACAGATAAGCGTGCCTGTGCCACACTTTGGAGGCAGTGACCCCGCTGATATCATCCATGACTTTCAGAGGGTAGGTTAAGGCACCTGCATGTTCACTCTATTTACATTTTCTTGTTAAAGTGTTTAAACATGGCTCAGGCTTGAACCTTTTTTAAAAATTTGTTCCAGGGCCTCACAGCTTATCATGACATTGCTTTGGACAAATGCTACATCACCGAGCTGAACACGACTTTGGTGATGCCTCCACGTAACCTGTGGGAGCTGCTTGTCAATGTCAAGGTGAGGCACTCGCTCACTACATTTACTGTTAATGTCACTGTTGGAGATCATTGTTAGAGATAAATGGCTGTCTGAGAGAGGGAAGGACAGTGTGTTCCCGTCTTCCTGCCTGCAGTGTTCCTCCCACAGACAGATCAACTGAGTGATTCATTTGTGTCTCTTTGCCACAGAGAGGGACGTACCTTCCTCAGACTTACATCATCCAGGAGGAAATGGTGGTGACAGGGAGGGTGAGGAACATGAGGCAGCTGGGCCCGTTCATCCACAGGCTCTGCTATGGCAAAGAAACCTACCGCCTCAGACGCCGTAACCAGCGCCGACGTGAGTACACACATTAATTTCCTTGTCCAATCTGCTCAGGCAATATGAGATGCTGAATGAGTGATGAGTGCTGGGTGACTTCCGCTAATTTATCACCCACTTTCCCACCAAGCCTTGTGAGATGTTGAGTCATGTGACGTGTACTGGGTCACTGCGATCTCTCTGTAGTCAAGAGGGAAAGTAATCCTCCAACGAATGACAGAGAATCCGGGGTTCAGTTTTGTGTAGGAACAAACTGAGATTGAGTGACCATGCAGAAAACAAATACTACCAGAACCAAATAGGGGCTTCCTAGTGAATATTTCAGACAGTGTGTCTAGAGTGTAAAGTCGTCCTCTAACAGCCTGGCAGCCTGATTATCATGTTAGTGTGTGCGTGTGTGTGTGGGCACAGCTTGGGAACTTCCTGCTATGTGAGTCACTTGTAGTGCCGTGGACACATCCACACACTGTGGAGGTGGTAGTGATGCGCATTAGTGATATCTCTTTCGTTGCTGCCTTTGATTGGTGTGCGAGCTTTAGAAATGATGCAACAAACTTCCCCTGAGTACATATATGGATGTGATTTGAGGGTATCACTTCTGCTTATTCAAAATGGACAATGTAGGCACAGTAGTTAGTAGCTGTAGTGGTAATATGAAAACTGCAAACCTTGGCTTTCAGCACTGAACAGATTATTGAAATGTCTCTTCTCTTCCAGGTATCGAAAGGCGTGAGATAAAGAAGTGCCATAGCATTCGTCACTTCGAGAATACTTTTGTGGTTGAAACTGTCATCTGCGACAGGGTCTAAATCTGAGGCGGAAATCACAGCCATCCTGAAGCCAATCTCAAACCATACCTCTTGAATTATTTAGGCTTTTAACTGCACTTTAAGAGCAAGTATTTGTCCAACAGTTTCAGTTTCAATTTTAATGTTCGTTTTTTTTGTCACAAGTTGGAATACTCTTTTATTGTTCATGTACAATGTTAATATGTTTTTTATTCAGATAGTCTGTATATTTCGATGATGTTATAAATGTGTTTGGATATATCTGTAGCTCGTCATGTTGTGCAAAAGAAGTTAATGTTAATGTGTGTCAGTTTGTCATTTTCATCAGAGGACTTGATTTTATGTTATTTTAGACTTGTCCTTATTGTTATTTAGTAACCCAGTGCACTGTGGGTGATGGTTAGAATACTTGGAAGCTGCTTGCACTGTGCACTCGTGTGAATATTTGTTTCTTGGTTGTAATTTTTTTTTATTTGAATGTCAGAAAATGGCAAAACATACCTCATGTAGTTTAGATGTTTCTTTTCTTTTTTTTTTTATCATTAATGAATGGTGTATATAACTTTGATTGTTCCTAAGCAATATATACTGTAAATTGATTTTATTCTGGATTTCATATTGTTACATGCATAGATTTTTATCTGAAATCGATTAGTTTTGTGAATGATCATTTCTTTATGGTTTGTCTCTATATTTCCTTTGGTATCACATTTTCGTACTCCTTGGAATATAAATGGCTTTAGACTGTAATTAGTAGCAGTGCTTTAGGGGGAAAAAAGGAACCAAAGTCTGCAGTAAGCATTTATATGCTTAGTGTTAAGGATATATGAAATATTTAGAAAGAATGCTTTAAAGTCTAGATCACTTACTGTAGATGATGTCAAATGCTAAAACTCTCCTCCTCTTCAGTTCTTGCCAGTTCCCAATCCTTCCTATCTTGCCATTATTATCTCTACAATGTTGATTTGTCCCAACTTAAAAAAAGATTTGGGGTGTCTTTATAATGTGCATCCTGGAGCAAATCAGTCTCTTTTGAGAGAGACCTGGGATATGTGCTCATATTTCATCGTCTCAGATACCTTATTTTGCTGTACAGTCGATTTTTCTTGTACTATCTTGCTGCTTTAAGAATAAATGATCAAACTTTATTATTGTCTTTTGTATGTTAATCAGTAAAAGAGTCAGTACAGCATACACATAAATCTGCAAATTATGGGTTAGAATAACTGGAGTTTATGTCAACAATACTTCAACATAAACAAAAAGGGCACTGGTCTTTAGAAAGGGAAACAAAGACTTTATTTTTCCTTTGTGAACTTCCTCACAGCTTGTATAGACATAATGTAACTGGAACAAGCAGGTTTAATCAGTTCAGTTTCTCTGGAACATGCTGTACATGTTTTCATGTCTATAGAACAGAAAACTACAGCTTCATTGTGGTATAAGTAACACATTACAAGATTAATCTTGTGCTTAGTTATATATTTAATTTTAAAATGGAAGAGGAAGAATTGGTTTCAAAAGTAATGCCATACAAAAATAAAAGTTGAGTAGTAAAATTGTTATTTCTGTAATTTTCTTCAAAGGCCAAATAAAAAGATCATGTCATAATTTCAATTTGAGCTTAAAGTTTCACAACAGACATACTGGAAGCCGTATAATTAATGCTTATTGTATAAAAATACAAACAAAATGTACATTATCCTCCTTCAAGGGATTTGTTCTGATAGATAGAATTTCCATTAACATCATTGTATTGTCGTCTGGGTTGTCTGGGTGAAATGGAAGAACAGAAAAAGGCTGGCAAACTGCAGCTCAGTTCAAAAAGCGCCATGACTTCACAAAAACAAATCATTTCAAAGAAGGATCATATCACAATGATGACAGAGGCAGAAATTAAAGTTACAGAAACTAAACAGCAAATGACACTGAAACGAGTGCCAAAATGAAAGTATCAAGACAAATAATGCAAGTAAACCAAAACATGACAGTTTCATGTCTTCTTTCTGGTTTTAGCTTTTCACAGAAATACTATATCATAAAAACAGCATTAATGTACAGTTAATCTCCTAATCAACCCCCAACCTTTTACTGTTACCACAAAGGGATTGTTCAACATCTGCAAGTCAGGTTGACTGCCATTAGCAGTGGGCCTCTCATAAATTCACATGATACTATTGCACATGTATGAAGCTACATTGTTATTAAAATAAAAGAAAAAAACTAATCAAAAGTACAATTATATTTACATGTTTCATGTCATTTAATTATGCTAACAATGTAGCTAAGACTACAGCTAGTATCTAAGGCTACTAGCTAGAAAGCTTGACTTTCTGTCCACTTATTTGCTTCATCATTCATACTATGATTATTTGAAAAGTATAATCCTCCTGAATATTTTTATTTGCATTGATAAGGTCAGGGATATATTTAAAATATATAAAAGTAGTACTTCTTTGCCACCCAGCCACAGTTCTTTATTATAGCCTATATAATGATTTACAGGACGGATACATAAATGTAACTTCTCTCCACTATTTACTAATGTAGATCCATTGTCCCTGATCTTAAATGGCTTAAATTTTGTCTTTTAATGAGATCTTCAGTAAAAGTGGATTTTAAGTGCTATATGTCTGATTTTTCTTCTTGAGAAAACAGACGAAAATGCTCCATAATAGCCTACGGCTTTAAGATGAATTACACCCCACATTAGTTTCGCATTGTCAGTGTGTAGGACTGAGGACAGTGTGAGAATGCTTTAAGCAATCTCACAAGCTTGTCCCTGATATCGTTTTAGAAACATGTCACGTTGTGTCAGGTTGGTGAATTTTCTTTTTCCTGCCTCAATTGGGTATCAAAGCTCTTTGAGGTTTCAGACTGGCTTCCTGTTACTGGACCAAATCATATTAACAGATCTCTGTCTATTCAACATTTTTGCCTCACACTTACCTACACTGCTTAACTGCAATTGCACTCTGACCTGTTTCACTACCACCCATTTCTCTTAGTGCATGCCACACTTTCTACCGGAAACGATACTGGCTGTTCTTTAATTGCATTGCCCTTCAAAAAACTTGCCAGGTCTTGTATTCACTACTAGCACTCCGCTGAGGACACATTACATTTTAACTTGAATCGTCTTTATCTCATGTTCAGACCTCTGAAGTGCTGAAAGTGGCTCTTCTTTGGCTGATCATTGACATCCTGAAGGTGTGTTTGGTGCTCCTCACCTCATGGGCAATGAAGTAGTAGCATAGAGCATCCAGACAGCAGGTGATGTTGGACAGACACAAAGCTACCTGTATGAACAGGCTGATCCTGGTCTTGGTGCCGCAGTCCTGAATCACTCCTTGGTGCACCTAGGATTGTGCAAATGATTAGAGGAACATGCCTACATGTATGAGAATAATGTTTCTTTTAATCTTATGATAACACCAGAGGTAACACTGCAGTGTGAGTTTTGCATATTCATATCAGGATTTTTTTTAAGATGATCTCTCCATACATCTGCTACATAATTTGCTGTAATAGTTTTATTCCAAAATGAGATCTCTAACATTTAAATAAAAATGTTACCTACCATCTTGGTGTCAGGGCTGTAAGTAGGGTTAGGGGTACCAGTGAGGACGCAGAGTTATCGGGGGTTTTAACAACCTGCCGCAAGGGTTACAGCCCTGCTGCATATGTCTCTTTAGAAGTTAAGTAGTGTGTTTGATTCAGTTTGCGAAACTGGGGAGGAAGCACTACCTGGAACTGACGGTGGTTTAGCACAAATCAGGCTGGTAAATACTGTCCATGAGAGAAAAAAAAAATCACACTGCTGAGTTGATATTTTTGAAAATCTATTCCATTTTTTGTGGACCTGATTTAAAGTAAGAGTCAGTCATTTAGATAATTTGTTAATTTCAAAATTAATCAGGATTTTTACACACTGCATTTTTTTATGGATATATTATATTCTGGAATAAAACCCTACATTTGTTGAGCCAAAATGGACAAGAGGTCACTAGAGTGGTCAGGAAAAAATGGAAATTTAGACATCTACAATTCTATGAAAACTGGGCAAAACCCTTTCTGCTGATGAAGATAATGTAAAATTACCAAAAGCTCCGGAAGAGCTACTAAATGGACCTTGAGGTGAGTTTGTTTTACCACCTTTATTTGTTATCTTCTAATACCTGCTTCACTTTTCTCACTTTAGAGTTCAGTTTACTTAAAATGAACTTGCAGTTTCTCTCACCAGGAACTGCAGGAGGATGCCAAGGTGGCTCGGGGTGAAAGGCACCAGGAAGGCACTCAAACTGCTGTAGATGATCTTCACGCAGGCCTGGCTCTGAGGGCTGTGCTGGCCAGATTGCTGAAGCGCCCAGATGGTCTGGACAGAACAGTAAATCACCACCAACGCAGGTACCAGGAACCCAAACACCTGCAGGCTGATGATCAGTGGAGGGCTCCAGCCATTTTCTGAAAACCTGTGGAAACAGTGGAAATTTTTCTCCCCGGCATCTCTGAAACGGTGGATGGTTGGAGAGAGCACTGCCAGCACCAGCATCCACACCCCCATGCAGGTCCCCAGAGCCACTTTGGGTGAACGCAGCAGCTTGGCTTTGAATGGGTGACAGATAGCCACCCATCGGTCCACAGCTATACACATGATGGTGTAGATGCTGCCATATATTCCAATAAAATACAGGCTTTCCAAGCCTGAACAGAGAGGTTGGAGGTAGGAAGGCCAGCAGTGATTAGTCGCATGCATTTTGAAGGGAAGAGGGAAGAGGAGGAGCAGGTCCATCAGAGCCAGGCTGGTCATGTAGATGGTTGATTCGGTCCATTTTCGCAGAAAGATGCAGAACACTAACAGTGCTACAACATTCAGGATCAGACCCAAGACGAATATGGGTATGTAGATGACCAGCTCCAAATAGTTCATCAGTCGGTCCACCTCGTTAAATGAACAGTTGTATGACATGGTGTCACTGCAGAAAAATAGTTTGATTTGATGTGATTTCAACAGCTGTGCCAGGATTTCAAAGCTGAATTTAAGTTGTGAAAATGTCTGTGAAATGAAGTTTGATTTCCTGTCTTTATTCTTTGTTTCTACACAGAAAGATATGTGCCACTGTACCAAGCCTCTTGAAACCTCGTAGTTGTGTGGGCACAAGCGGTTTGAACTTTTTTTGTTCCTGCTTTCTCATGTACAGGCAAAAATATCACTTTTTAATCACTTTTTATGCTCAATGCTCAAATTAGAAGTAATACTGTAAATCTGGCTTAGGTTGAAGTTAATTGGAAAATTAGTTGGACCTTTAATTTAAATGGGAAATGCCTAGATCTGAAAAGACCTGTCAGATTAAGCACCTGCAACTACCTAGATTTTGATTTATATCTATCTTTGATAGATGCACATTTTGTCAGTGCACCTGTCTGTAATTAAAAACTAATAAAGAGTCCTATAATGATTTGAGTGTTTAGTGATTTAAACACAATTACTTACTCTAAGTTACTCTGCAGTCATCACTGGAAGCATATGTCAGAATAAACTAAAATATAATTGTGATCTAATTTATCAAAAATAGTCTATTAGATGTACTGCATACATACTATATTTACATTATTCTGTTGGTTTTAGAGATGTATTACAATGATTTCCAATTAGCCATTTCCAATTAGATCAATTGCTAATTCCTTTCATTACACTGAATGTCTGGCCTGTAATTTAAGTGTCACAATAAAATAGCTACATTCATGTTCGGTTCTTCATTAACATTTAAATGAAACACAAAGTCTAACCAGTTTAATATTAGATATCTTGTATAGCAGAAAATTTGAAATCTTAGTTGTGTCTTTACCTCATGGATGCAAGTCTCTCCACTGAACATTCAGTCTGTCTGGCAGACTATCTGTGCCAGACGTACTTCTGCTTTCTCTACCTTTGTTGTTTCATCACCACTTCCTGAGTCATGCCACACATCATGCATATGTGTGCTGTGAGCATTACAACAGTTTAAAAGCAAAGGTTAACATATTCAGCCAGTTTCACTGTTATCCATCTCATTACATTTATGTGCTTTTTAAAGATAATCACATGCATGATAAGTGCACCACAGCTATAGCAGTAGATTTAATTTGTATTTGTAAACATCAGAAAAAATGCGAAGTATGCAAGTAATACTCAAAGTAATAAATATGTTGGTTGTGTTTTAAGTGCTGAGAGACATTTCACAGCATAAAAAATACAAATGTATACAATGTATACAATGTTTACCATGTTCACCATCTTAGTATAGTGTTTTATCATGCTAATCTTTGCTAATCAGCACTAAACACAAACTACAGCAGAGGTTGGCAGGAATGTCAATAGTTTTGCAGGTATTTTATCATAAACCACAGTATTGGAGCACTGACATGCTAATGCATGCTAATTGATAATGGCCAAAGGCCTAATGATGGCACTATATGTAAAGGGATTACTACAGTGATTACAATTAATTCTGAGTGGGATATTAATGTCTGTGCCAAATTTAATGGTTGTCTGTTTTATAGTTTTCAAGACAGTTCTAAAACCACAGATGTCATCTTGTCCATCAGTCCAGACTTGATTGAACCGCGTTAATGTAAGTGTTAACTTGAGATGTTGGAATTATTATACAGCTGTGTTTGTCACCACATTTAGGATATTTGGTAAAAAAAATATTAGTCTTTATTAGTCTGGGGTCCTCCTATCTCAAAAAGACTGAGAACCAAGGCAATCAAAGTGCTCATTCTTTCAAGTGTGTGAGTCACTGCAGAGGCAGATTTTGACTGTGATTGTGATTGAGGGTTTCCTGGTTTCAGGTGCTGAGATGACTTAACTGTATTTTAAGTATGAGAAAAATTTTTTTGCCCCCTTTTATCAGATGTAAAATGCTTGACTTGCTGATGATGATGTTTGTTGAGAACAGTTTGAATGTACCCCAACCAGTCAGCAGTGGCATATTTTTGAACTGGAATAAACCGGAGAAGTTTATGATTAGTGTACAATAATGTGATGTGACTTTCATTTTTGGAAAAACCGTAGCTTTTTCTGGAAATGTAAACAAAGCTGTTAGCCACACTGCCACCTACTGCTGTGAATGAAGTAAGTGCCAGTGGTCTCCATGGATAAAAGAAAATCTCTTCTCATTTAAAATTACACTTTCTTTTGTTTTGGGACACAAGATCTTGGATGTGCTTTTGTAGACAGTTGAGTATAGTTATTTGAAACACACTAACCCATTTATTTTCACTAGGACTGGTATGACTGATTATAATGATCTAAAAAAATCCTCCATAAATATTATTCAGTTTTCTGTGTTGAATCAGTGGTCATGTGTTAAAAAATACACAGTAGTCACAATAATCATTTGGCACCTGATTTATTGGATGTATTTATTCAATTTAAATCTCAAAATAAAACAAAAGCATTTGGCAGTGAAATTACCATGTCAACATTTAGCCATATGGCTGACGGCTCTGAGGAAATAGAAAAAGACAAAATAACTTTAATAAAATAATTTTCCCCCTGCAAATAAAACAACAGCAAAAATCTACAAACACTCACTTGAGTGCATAACACACATTCTTCCATGATCTAACTTCATATTTGCTCTGCAGGTAAAACAAACAACCCGACTACCATGTTTACAATCATTGAAAGAGCCTTTTTAAAAAATGTTTTCTTCTTATTTTGACTCTATAAATGTTTGTAAATGGTGCAAAACAAACTTGTACACCGGTGACAACAAGGGAATGTTTGAGAAATTATTTTGGTGCAAGGTAAAATCATTGTGAAAGACCAATAACAACCTCATATGTAGGCACATATAACATATATCTCAAATATCTTTCTTATTGATTGGAAAAAGTAAGACACAGACTAGCAAAAGCACATACACACACACACACACACACACACACACACACACACACACACACACACATCATGTACAAATAAAAGCAAACACATGCAGGATATTTCACACCAACCTCTCAAGACAAGAAAACAAACAGCCCACAAACATCAAAAATCCTTTAGAGCATTCATAAAGATGTTGGAAAAAAACAAAGTAAAAAGCTGAACAAAATTAAAATGACATTGACTACGATTTCCACTGGAAGAGCCAGCCAGTTTCTAACATTACACCTTCAGGATTAAGTGGAGCAACAGTTGAGCAACAGTTAGAGTGTGTTTGCAGGAGTAAATCTGTAAGTAGTCAGTCAAGGGACCTGCCACAGTTTTCAGCATCTACAGCAAAGCAAAAGACACAACTCATCTTTGAAAGAAAGATGAGGAGAGAGTCAGGAGTCGAAAGATCGAGATGAGAGGCAAAAGACAAAATCAAACACTCATGCCATACAAACACCCACACATCCATACACACACGGGATGGGATGCATTCACTCTAGGATGCGGTGAACTTTCTGAGTGTGATGACGATGAGGGCGAGGAGGACAGACGCACCCAGGAAGACTGCTATAACGATGGCTGTGATGGCCCCCGGCCCCAGCACCCCTGTATGCACATGCACATAGATAGATTTTTTATAATCTGAATACATAAAAAAATACTTGTTTGTGCTTGGTACATCAGTTGTATCAGTCTTACCTTCCTCCTCATCCATGGCCTGGGAGTGTGTGGTGTCCTCGTAGTCGTTTGTGAAGGACTGCTCTGTCATGTCCTGGAAAGGGTCTTTGGTAGTGACGTCACTGGGTGGTTCTCCAGACATGGTGTCCTGGTTGTCCCTGGTTGTTGAGGCAGGATCTGCGACTGTCTCTGCAGAACAAGACAAAAAAAAAACAACTCACCACTTGTGCTTCTGTTTCACATGGACATAAAATCACTTAATCCCAGTATCTGCTGTGCAGGTACTGTTCAACTACTGTTTTTTTTTTGGGCAGTAATTTCACTGACGAGGCACACAGCTTTTCTAATGGCCCTGTTTGACTTTTCTCTGAATACTGAAGTCTTGGGCATAGCAAGGCATAGGTGTATACATGGCCCCGTCTGTAGTGACTCCAACAGCCTCGCTCTTGTCTCGCTGGGTTAACGGCTGAGACCTGGGCATAAGGATGTCTTTGTAGAAGATGAACATTTTGTGCGTTTGAGCTTCAGGTAGCCTTTCAACACTTCTTTTTTCCACAACAGCTCAACCAGGTTCATCTACTACCTGAAAAAACTCCTTCAACCAAGGTTGTTTGATTATTTCAGTTCAGTACGTAGATATTTCATGCTTTAGCACAAACAGCTTTAGGGGATTTGCTGACTATTTATGAAGCTCAGTTTCTGTGCAACTCTCTGCTCTCTTCTCTTCTGCCAATCATTCGTCTGTTCTTTCCATCCCAAATTGTCCTCTGACATTTCTCCCATCTGAGCATGAAGTTACCCTGAGACTTTTCACACCTCTACTCAGCCAGAGAAACAGGGTCTCTCTCAGGGCCACAATTCTGTGTTCCCTAACACAAATTTAACCTCTGGAAACACTCATTTGAAACCGCCAAAATTCCTCTGCGATTATGGTTGCTGCCGTTTCTCTGGTAATTGAACAGCTGTACAGCTTTTTGTTTGAAATCTAGAGGAACAGGGGAAAATTTGATCATCATCTCCCCTGAAAAAACAAACTCCTCACTCACAAGCCCACCCATTCACACACTCACTGATTCACTTATCCTATCCTCAACTCTATGCATACCGACAAAACCGTAATCCAAACATATTTACACTCAGCTTATTTAACGCTACATATTTACTTTGTGGCCTCTAACGCCCTCAGTAAACTCCTTAACCCTGTTTTTACATCTTTTCTCTGCTTTCTTTTTGTCTGCCATTATCAAGGAAGCTTCATTTTATTGTCTCTAATAAAGTGGAAAACATGACGAGATTATGAAGGAACCAGTGCATATGCTATAATTTCAAGTCCTTAATGTCAGCTTCTGGTGGTATCTTCTGAACTCTGACATGCACTTCTGATGTATTTTGATGCTGCTGTGTTGACTCTAAGTCGTGTGCAGCTCCCTGTCCTGTAGCTGGCTGAAGGTCTGGAGGCCCGGGCCTCTGGCCAGCTCAGCCATCAATGAGGCCTTCAGCCGAGGGCACAAAAGGCAGCTTGTGCGGTCACGCAGGGCGGCGGGCTGCAACCAGTAACAACCGGCCAGGCCCAAACCAGGCACCGGCTGGGCACTGGATGTCAAACAAACTTGTTTATTAAATAGTCCCTGTGTGTAAAAGGCTGTGCCTTATGGACAGCTTGATTTAATAAGAAGGCAAAAAATAATAACATGTTTTCTTTTGGTGTTTGTTTCCACAAAGAGAGGTTTACTCAGGCTTGTAATTTCTGTTAAATGGAATTAATATAACTGAACCCTCTAGAAAAACATTATTCTTATCCAGTGTGTCAGTGGTTCCCATCCTCTTTTGACTCAGTACCATTAGATGAGCTCAAGTACCCCCCTCCACCAGCACCACCCATCACATTCCAAATATGTTCTCATGAATGGATTATAACCCAGATTTTATTTAAAGACTATTAATTATATTAGTATATATATAAGTGTTATACAATATTTTTTTTCATATAACTTAATTGTCTTTGATGAAGTTTGAAACTGCTAAAGCTCAGCTTAAATTAACTTAAACTGTTTTAACTGTTTGTTTGTCACTTTTGGCTAACTGTTTATTCGTTAGCTTAGGCTAAGTACTTTAATCATTTATCCATTATTTCTTGCCTATTTCAGCTGTTAATTTGCCAAACATTTCAACTAATTATCTATACTTTAAGCTATCTATATTAACTATTTGTCCATTACTTTAGCTAACTATTTTCAACTTCTCATTTGTATTTATGTGTCACAACTGACTCAGGTTCAGTTACAGCTCACTGGTTACTCTAAATTTAGTAAAAATTGGTATCACACCGGTTAGTGATGATTTCTCTGTGTTTAGTTGCGTTAATTTGTTTAGAGCTGAGCCCTCTCCACTGCTTATGGCAGAAGTATCCCTGATGGGGAATCACTGCACTAGGTCACACTTTTTGAAGACATAACTATAGACATCAATCAAGAATCCCCCTTCTCTAATGCCCAACAAGTCCTGACTCATAAAAGGCTGGCAGACTGTAAGGAAGGCTGATTTTAGACACTAAAAACACAGAAGGCCATTTATTTGTACCTCAGACCTCTTTGGTCGGGATTTCACACCAGCTAGAGAGATGACAAAGTACGTAGACGGGTGTGTGTGAAAAGCAACCTGGCTGAGCATTGAAACCATGAGTGATGCTGCCCAAACATGACATCTATGGTGTTGTGTGTCCTTGCTTCAGCCTCTTTAACTTTCTCAGGTGGTGGCCACATTTTACATAGCAAAATATTACAATACCAGTGAGTTTTGGATTTTAGAGTAGGATCAGGGTTTGGTTGCTAGAAATGGTCTCCACGTCTAGTTACAAAACATGTGATGAACCCTTTTCTGTTTTAAAGGTTCTGAGTCTCTCACACCATCAGATCAGTCATAATGAGGAAGATCAAAGAGTTAGTGTGTGAGTGATTATCATACTCTTGCTTAAATTTCTTATTTGACACATTTCAGTTTGTTTCCCACAGTGAGTCAACCAATGGGGCTGCATGTCACGCTGGTTAAGACACTGGGCTGGTGTTGTGGTCAAGACTGTTGGCACTAGGCGTAGCGTAGCGTAGTGGGTTACGCAGGCGCCCCATATATAGAGGCTACAGTCCTGACCCGCGGTTCGACTCCCGCTTCGGACGGCATTTCCCCCTCTCTCTGCCTCCCCATTTCCTGTCTCTCTACTGTCCTGTCCATTAAAAGGCACAAAAAGCCACACAAAAAAAAAGAAAAAAAAGACTGCCTGGTAGAGCATGTATCACATAGGCTTAGTCCTGACTGCAGCAGCCATGGGTTCGAGTACGACCCATGGACCTTTGCTGTGTGTTATCCCCTCTCTTTCTCCCTGAAATTCCTGTCTATCTCTCACTGTTCTATCAGAATAAAGGCAAATGCATAAAAAATAAAAAATACTGCTGGCACTGCCTGAAAACATCACCTAAAGTACACTGTAAACACATCAGTCACAACAGATATGTGATAAGATGAGGCTGTAGAGTAGAGAGTGTACAATCAAGCAGAACACATTCATCTTAACTAACATTTCTCTTGGATGTGTTTAACCTTTATAGAATTGTAAAGTAAATTTTCCAGATTATTGTGTTTGCCGAGATGACCAAAAAAAAAATCTCCTCTGGGGTCCATCCAGATAGTTAAACATGCTTTGATGCATTAAAAATATGTTTCCACCTTAAAACTGTACAGTTGAAAAGAGGCTGCAAGATATTTTTAGAAAGGTGCAGGCAAGTCATAGCACCACTGTGTAAAAAACCTTGACATGGTTTTTGGTTCACAGCCTTTTTTCTATAACAGCAGATTTGGTGTCCTATGTAAAGGGTGACAGTTCACAGCTATGTTTTTTTTTCACAGGGTAGGATCGTCAACTTGTTATAAACCCCACTGCCGTCTTGACCTCTGCTCTGACCTCTGGGCCTGAGAGCTGCTCTGCTGTGACCAGAGATTTTTTTCAAGTCGATTTTGAGTGTGTGAAAAAAAAGAGGAAGAGAGAAATAGAGACAGAAGCAAGGGAAAGTAAAAGAAAAGTGGTGAGTGTGTGAGTTAAATAGCACAGAAATCTTGAGAACCAGTTGATTTTTGGTGCATACACTTTCTACATTACAAAAAAAGCTCATGTATGTTGGCCGTATCATTTCCTGTGCCTGCTTTTTACTAATACCTCCAAAACCTCCCCATGCATATGAAATAATCCCAGCACCTGTGGATGTTTCACTACCTCGAAACCAAACCAATACTACACAGAATCACTTCAGCTTAGCTTGAGTCTGAGGGGAGCTGGTTTTCAGTTTCATACAAACATCAGACATCATGAAAGCAACTGAGTCATCCTGTTTGTCAAAGAGCAGCTTTCACAGCTCCCAGAGCTTCAACAACTGCATCATTTACATCAGGCTGCAGACTCACACATCCAAGCCTGAGAGTGTGTGTGTGTGTGTGTGTGTGTGTGTGTGTGTGTGTGTGTGAGTGAGTGAAAATGACACGTATACACACACCTTTGATATGATGCCTACGCAGGATTAAACATCGGCCTGTTTATCTGCACATACAGCTGATAAGCAAACAATTATAAGCATTTAGAATATAAAATGTTAAACCTACCCAATTTTAAATCAGCTGTTTTTTCCTATCACAAGATGCTAGTGACTTTATTTAGAAGCACTCTTGATACAATTTGCTGTCAGTGTATTTGTTTAAAAAAATATATTTCTCTCACAGCACACCTTTCATTTAAAACGTGACAGGCAGTTGTTTTGTATAAATCAGACTGTGCTTTGTGCTCTGTCCTACTACATTGCTACTGTAATTAGTTTCAGTGCAAGCAGGCAAGGTTGCATGTGATAATAAAAAAAAAAAAAAAGAGTCAGACTCAATATAAGTTTTACCTGTGTGTACAAAGGCAACCAAGAGGCCAAGGAGCACCAGTAGGAACCCTCTGCAGATACCGCTGCGAACCATGGTGGCTGTGAAGGATGACCGTTGGATAGAGTAAAGCGTCTCTAAAACTCCTCAAGCAGTGGCTTGAAACAAGTAACTCACCCTGGCAGAGGAGCAGGAGAAAAGTACAGGGCAGCGTAGGAGCATGGAAAGGTAGGCAGCTGAGGGGTGAGAGGAGGGGTGGGACTAGGTGTACACAGGATTATCTAGACAGTGTAGACTTTGTGAGCACATCATTGCAAGGCCCACCCACTCCAGACTCCTCCAGCCACATAGTTGGGTATGAGGGGTAAACATTACGGAACCATTGACCTTGGCCAAGTTGCATCATGAAGGTCTCAGCTGGATATTTTACACCTTGACTCTTGAAGGGAATTTCTGACACCAAAGAGATTAATTTTCAAAATGTAAAGATGGCAGTGGTACAAGAAGTATTGCAAACTTTTAGTTAAATAAAAGTACAAATATCTTGGTATAAAAATACTTCATTAGACATAAAAGTCCTACCTCCTTAAGCAGAACCACAGAATTATTTGCAGTAAAAAAATGAGGGACTCAACAGATTAGAAAAAGAACAGTAAAAAAAATCAAAGGAGCACAGGCAGTCTCCAGGAATGCTGGTGCTACGTTTCCCATAATGCAACTAGCCTGATGAGACTAAACTGCCGTTAGGACTCACTTCACTCATTCATTAGGTTAACATTGTGATCATGTTAACCTGATTTCTTATTGTGAGGGGTTGTTTCTCTTTTGCACCTTAATCAATCAGTGAGTGGCGTAATGGTTTTCAGTTGACATGGAAGCCGCTCTACTGGTTGATGAGAGCAGTTAACTCACTGTTTCTAACTTTGATCCTTCAAGACTTATTCCTTAAATTCAGTTGACAATACTTTGTTGATGAAACGTGTGCGTGCCTAGAAGTATGATGTTCCTTTGCATTAGAAAGAATTGGCAGGTTTCATTTCTTCTTTGTGGATTTTCAAACCATGACTAATTTGTTGGCAGGTACACACCACATTAAGAGTGGTGAAAGGTTGGCTTTTACTTCCTGAAAATTCATCAGTTGTGCTTTTGAGAGACAACATATTGTTCATGTTTAATGGTTAGTTTCATATTTGAACACAAAAATGTGTTTTGTCTGCATGACATTGCAAACTGTCATTTGATATGAGGGGGAAAAAAGAGGAAAGACTGTCAGCATACGTGCAGCAGATAACCAGGAAAAAAAGGATGCAATGCAATTTTCAATTTTGAAACTAAATTCTCGTGATTAGAGGAATTTAAGATGCTTTTTAGTTTGATTACAGCATAAATCCTGATATCTGGCTTCACTCTTATGTTCTCTCTTTAAAAACCTGGCAATGATTTATTTTGAATTATGCATTTCACTATATATAGATCCAATGAATTTTCTGGTTTCTGAATGGTTCAGACAAAATTGTGAACAGCCCACACATCAGACTGTTTTATTATTTCATACTGCAATAAAAAAGTATGACTCCAGCAGATCATTTTCATATATTATAATACAGATGCAGAGTTGAAAGTTTATTCTTTAAACAGCCTAGTATTTTACAGAAATAGATAACTACTTGGAACTTTTGAACATGTCCTTAAAACAGGACATAAGTGGGCACGAATCCTTGGGCTCTACTTTGCCATCATTATCCATGAACACCCAGCAGCAAACAGGGAGGGGAAAGAGCAGGGGGGAATTTAAAGTGTAAGGGGAAAACTTTCAATAAATAAAACAAAAACAATGGATATAATCTCTCTAACCTTTCTCATAATACCCCCACAACCCCACCCATATATCCACACTTTAAGAAATCCCATACAATCGAGGCCAAATTTGAAATTTGTTGTCACTGTGAATTTCCACAAGAGGACATGATTTGAGGCTGAGCAGCTGATGCCAAACAGACATCAATGCCTCTGCAGACTCTCCAGAAACTTCAGTTCATTTGGTGATTACTCTCTTGGCTTGTTGGATGTTCCATTGGCAAGTTAGCTCCACTCCATTTCTTTCAAGGTTTTTCATCAGATTATAGGTCCGCTAAACAACAGGAAAACATACCCTGTCTCAGAGATCCCCGTTTGTTCACAATTTAGAATTTATGGGGAATACCAGAGTATGTCTGATAAATGGGAAACTGAAAATAAAAGGTGAAAGTCATGGAAGCAGTTGGGGGGCCGGGGCAGGTGTTGGGGTACAGCTGCTGTTCAAATTGGATACAGTCAGTGGGGGTTTGCTTGGCTGCAGTCCCTTAAAAGTCCTCCAAAGTCTCAATCTCTCCCATATTCAATCTCTCGGATGATGCATTCACAGAAAAACCTGAAAATTGAAAGGCACAAAGATCCAGTTAACAGATGGGCAATAATAAGTAGCAACATGTCACTTCAGATTTTCCAGATTCAGCAGATGGGCCTTTGCTCTTACCTAGAAGGCTGGGGTCTGCACGGACCATCTTCTGCTTCTTTTTCTTCTTCCCTGAGGTGACGGTCTCAAAGCGCTGCTGCTGGCCACTTGTATGGTTAGACTGGTAGAGCGACGAAGATCCTGTTCCACCCCATACAGAATCCTTGGCAAGAGAGAATTGTGGATTTAAAAGCCATTCTGTGAAGTTCTTGGCCTTGACATCAGCAAATTCAAAATATTACTATTTGACTTAAACTGCACAAAGCCGGAGCTCATTTCGTGATTATTCAAAGTTATGTTGAGAGTTATTTTCTGGTACAATGAAATGCAAACAAGATACTAGCTGATGACAAACACGATGACAATAGTTAACCATTGATCAGTGACTCATTATTTTCATTATCAATTACTCTTGCGATTGGTTTTTAAACAAATCATTCAGTCTATAACAGGGCAGGTCAATAGTGAAAAATGAGCATCTCAAGTTCCCAGAGACCAAGTGGATGCCTTCAAATTACTTGCTTTGTCTGACTGAAAGTCCAAAGCCTAAAATATTTAAATATCACATATAAGCTGAGAAGCTCTAACCAGAAAAGTTGAGGTAATTTAGCTTAATAAACAAGCTACACGATTAAACAATTATCGGAATATATGCCAATTATTTTTCTCAAAATATGTATTTCAGTGTGTTTCAAGTACTTTGCACCAGTTACTGACACCAATAGCAGTGTCTTTGTCTAGATGCGTCTTTGTGCAAATTTCAAGGAACCATTACTGTCAAGTTATTTTGCCAATAAATACTTAAAATACTTTTTTCAGGAATCAAGGCGTTTCTGGTGCTAAACTAAAGGAAATTGTTGATGGTTGAAGAGAAGTAAAGCAGCTGCCTTGACAGTCTGAATAATTAAAATAAAGACAATGCTGCTTTCAAAAGCTACAGTACAGACATTAAGTGTGGAACATATGAATACAAGATTACATATTTCATGATACATGCTTTCAATTTTGAAACGAGGAAAAAAAAAAAAAAAAAAAAAATCACGTTAGCACTTTAACGCTATAAGAATGTGGTACGTAGGATACGTGGATCATATGGATAGATTTGTTCTTCATCCTCATGAGGAAACGGTGTAATGCCTTCTTTTGGGGCTGATCCAAAGATGTGACGCAAGATAGATTCACACCAGCAATGTAAACAACAGTAGTCGTCATGGAGTGTGACAGCATTGGTTATGTCAGATGAAATTGCGCTGATTGGTTTTAATATACCAGGCAAAAATACCCCAAAGCGAAAACTATTTCAGGGGAGCAAAAGGAAAGGATGTCTCTCTTTTTGATCACATTGCAAGACTCAAATGGCTTCACAAAGCAAAATGGGTACAAAGCATTTGGCACCCATATGCTGAGCCTTTAAATAACTGGTACCACTTCAGTCTCGCTCACCTGCTGCTGTTTGAGGGCTTGCTGTTGGTTTTGCGGTGCCTGTTTCTGTTGGTTAGCGTTCTGTTTGGCACGACGTTCCAGGAACTGCTTGGCAAAGTCCTTGGCCTCGGGAGTGTCCCCCAGATAGGCCCTGATGTAGTCGTGCACCTCGTATGGAGAGTCCACTTCTTTCAGGAAGGAAGCAAATGTAGGAACTGGCAGGGAAACAGATGGAGAATATTTCTGAGTTTGGCTTCCAAAAATGGTCCATCAATAGTTGTGGGTGGAGTGCCTTTGCAAAACATATTTCTAAAGACATACCATCCAGATTGTTGGCTGTGTTGAGGGTGTGCAGGGTTTGCTCACACCATTGCATGAAGGTGTCCTGCTGGCTCTTATTGACCCCCTGGAACAACTTTAGCAGCTTCTCCTCCTCCTCTACCTTCTTATTGGCTCGCCCACTCAAAGAGTTACTTCATTTGAACAAAATGCAAATGCAGGAGGAAGACAAAAGGAAGTCATTAAGAGCTGTGAATTACTCATATGGCAAGTCATGCTTTTCATCAGAGGTTGTGACTAAGGCATTCTTAATAAATACCTGAGGTTGGCGTTGCCTTTGTTGTTCTTCTGTGTGCTGCCTTTCCTGGTTTGAGGAGGTTGCTGAACAGCCTCCTTCACAGCCTCATCCCAGAAGCCCATGTTTGAGTTGTGGGTGTCACCCCAGATACTGCTGGAGTCTGAGCCCCAGTTAGTGCAGGTGCTGGCATTGACAGACCCCCACACAGAGCTACTCAGAGATGTCTGTGAAGAGAGCAAGACACTATTATTGGCATAACACTTGTTTCTAGAGCTTCAAATTTTCAGTACCAATTAATCTTCCTATTACTTTGCTGACTAATAGGTTGTTTGGTCTGTATAATGTCAGAAAATGGTCACAAATATCCATCACAATTTCATAATTTTACATAAATCTCATCTCATCTTCAAAGGTTTATAAGCTGCCCAGAATGGTTGAGCTCTCACACTGACATGCATTAAAAACTCCATTAAGCATTGAAAATGTTACTTGTAGCATCAAACTCTGCAGCGCCACAAAGCTTTTATTCGCTTTCATCCGCTTTCATCCGCTTTCATCCAATCAGAAACTTAAAATCATATATGTAACATACAGTTCTGTTTTGAGTGCGGGTCTGTTGGGTGACGATGGGGTGGTGTTGTTGTTGTTGTTGCTGCTGCTGCTGCTGCTGCTGCTGCTGCTGCTGTTGTTGTTGTTGTTGTTGGTCCTTCCGCTGTTTCATCTGCTGGGCTTCCTCCCTCTGAATCTCCAGCAAGGACTTGGTAACAACTGGCTGTTTGGCCACATTACCCCAACCAGACAGCTTAGCTTGAGGCTGCTGAGCCTGTTGCAGAGCCTGCTGCTGCTGCAGCTTCAGGAGCTCTTGTTGCTGACGCCGCTGCTGTGGGTCATGGAAGAAAAACAGGAGGGTGATGGAAATTAGTTGGTGTAGAGTCATTTGTGTTATTGCATAAAACTGCATTTGGTTCAATAACAAAAAATAATGCATTATAAAAAAAAAAACTAAAACATTGCTCATAACTCATGGGAGGTACAAATACATTGCTGGTGACAGAGTAACTGAACAAGGCCCGCTGTTTGCCATCCTCACCTCCTCCCGCACCTGTCGTTCTCTCTCCTCTTCCAATTTCTGGATCTCAGCCAGTGACAAGGCATTCTGACTCAGGTTTATAGCATTGGCCGACTGCTGGCCCCACTTTGAAGAGGATGGAAGCTGCAAAACACAGTGAAGAGTTTTGTTAACTTTTTTAACTTTTATAATGTCAATTTTTGTTGACAAATCCTGTGTCCTTACCTTCATTTGTGCAAGCTGCTGCTGCTGTTGTTGCTGCTGTTGAAGTCTCCTGAGGGCCTCTTGTTGCTGCTGCCTCTGTCTTTGCAGCTCCTGCTGTCTTTGGGCCTCCTGCTCTCTCCGTTTCAGCTCCTCCTGTTGCTGTTGGGCAAGAGCAGCTGCCGCTGCAGCTGCTGCTGCCTCCTCCTCTGCTCGCTTCTCCTCCTCACGCCTCCTCAATGCTTCAAGTTCCTCCTGCTTTCTGTGCTCCTCTTCCTGGTGAGATAGACAACATTTCAAATTAAGAAATGGGGCAGCTGTGGCTCAGGAGGTAGAGTGGGTCGTCCACTAATTAGAAGGTTGGTGGTTCGATCCCTGGCTCCTCCAGGCCACATGTCGAAGTGTCCTTGGGCAAGATACTGAACCCCACATTGCCCCTGATGGCTGTTCAGTGGCCATCAGTGTATGAGTGTGATGTATGAATGTGTGAGTGAATGGGTGAATGTGGCAATTATTGTAAAGCACTTTGAGTGGTCAGCAAGACTAGAAAAGTCCATTTACCATTACATTTCACAAGCCCAAAAAGGAGAAAGTATAGGACATGTTTTCCTTAGCTTACCTGTTTGCGAAGGAACTCTTCTCGTTTCTTTCTCTCCTCCTCTTCCCTCCGCCTCTCCTCTAATCTTCGAAGAGCTTCCTCCTGTGCCAGTCTCTCCTCTTCTTCTTTTTGCCTACGCTGTGCCTCTTCTTGCTCTCGCTGCCGCCTCAAAGCTTCCTCCTAAAGATTTACAACACTAGGTCAGTATCAATGCCTTCAAAGAAAATAATTCAGATTGCTTCAGATTGATATTGTTCAAACGCGCCACCTGTTTTTGCCTTGCCAGCTCCTCTTCTTCCAAACGTTTGCGTTCCTCCTCTTGTCGAGCCCTTAGGGCCTCTTCCAACCGTTTCCGTTCCTCTTCCTCCCTTTTAGCTCTCATTTCTGCCTCACGCCTCTCCAGCTCCAACTGTTGGATGATGAAGATAAAAATACACTACCGTTATTATCTCAGGAGGTGGAAAAATCCACGCACATTTCTGACACTCATCCTAAATTAAAATTATTATTTTCTATTCTATCTAGCCTGCCTACTTCTTCATGCCTGTGAGTCTCACAAAAAGTCTGAGATTAAATACTTTAGCACCGCAGAGTACAAAAGTATAATTTCATTTTACCAATATGTTGACATATCAGAAGACTGCCTACTGTTTAGTCTAATTAAATTTTTTTTAATAGGAGTTGCAAATTTCCATTTTGCTTTTTTTAATGTTTTTGGAATTTATGCCAATTTGTGGAAAATCCATTTGTTTTAGTAATTAAAATATAATAAGCTGGACTTAGTTCCACTGAGACAAAGGAAACAGAAAAGTAAGCACAAATACTGTTTACCTTTGCAGCTTTTGACTTCTCTAACTGTTGCATCTGCTCAATGGTTGGAGCCTGTGCCATGGAGTCAATGGGTAAATCCCACACACTGCTGCCATCCCACGCTGTTGAGAATGAGAGAATATGATGCATTACACTTGCTACAACATGAAGTTTTTTTTCCTTGTGTTCTCATGTGATTCAAAAACAAATCAATGCTGCAGGACACTGAAGGCTAAAACTCACTGCTGGGAGCAGGTTGTTGGAGGTTTGGTGTGCAGGAAGCCTGAGAGGATGGGTTCTGCATTTCCCATACAGAACCAGAGTCTGGTACAGACAGGGATCGGGTAACAGGAGGTAGGAGGCTCTCAGACGCTCTACAATAAGATGAGCAAATAAGCATTAATAAATACAATGCTAAACACATAGCACCTAAATCAACACAGGCAGATGTAGATTTACAGGCAGAGCTGACATGTTTGTGAGTGTCAACCTTATCTTGAGTGCTTGATATTGCTGTAGTAGCAGGTTGATCTGCTGTTGGTGTTGCTGCTGCTGTTGAAGAGGAGCTGAGCTAAGAGCTGCAGCTTTCTGCTGGGCCAGGGCCTGAGCATACTGCTGCCTGAAAGGAGTAAGACAAGAGGATAAGAGAAATTTGAGAAAATGAGAAATGGGAAACTTAAGTTTTAATGATAATGTGTCAGTTATTTACACACATTATTGGACATTTACATCCCATCCTACCAATACATGAAATATAAGTGTGTATTTTTTAGTATTAAAATAGAAGTAGGGAGAGATCATTTTGATTCTGAGGTCAAAGATTAACCATTAACTATAGTCTGCTTTCAGGTCTTGGCGAGTACTACTACATGTGAAACAAGTTGTATAAATCCTTTTGTTGTGTGAAAGTAATGTCAGTTTCAGATCTGGGACTGGCATACCTGAGGAGGTATTGATACTGGAGCTGCTGTAACTGGTAGAGGTTGAGAGCAGTGAGCTCCTGCTGCCTCTTCAACCTCTCTTGATCACCATCACCCTGCATCACATCAAGAGATGCAGAGACAGGATAAATCATAACAGTCAAACAAGCAAAAGATAGCAAGAGATATAAGATGTTAAGCAAAGGGGGGAATTCAAGGCCAAAGTGCTGACAGCACAAAAAGAGTGTGGACCTCAAGGCTATTGTTTACTCAATCTCTGTGCAATTTGTTTTGCGTTTGAGCAACATCTAGCTGTATAAAGCTAATACCGACCTTTCCATATTGAACCAAGGCTGCAATTGCTATTAAAGTTGTCTCTAATAAACATCAATTTCAAGGGGGTGAATAATTATGATAAATAATTTAATATAGTACATTAAAAAATGAGTTATTCATCTTAGAGAATTCAGAACGACCACTTCCATGACAAATAAATACATAAAAGTATAAAAATAGGAACCTTACATTCTGTCTGCTGATTCTAGCTCCAGATGCTGGCTGTTAGACATTCATACATTCACTTGGTCTAACTGTATCCAGCTGCTTCAGTTGCTTCCTTTTTCATATTGTCTAATATCAGGAGATATTCTTATTTAACAAGATTTTGATGATGACTTGTTAAGAAAAAAAAATTGCAATTGCTTTATGAAAAACCTCCATATAATCCATGAAGTCAGAGAGAAAAAGGTTCTTGAAACACCAAACAACTGGTACATGAAGGATTCCTTTGAGTGGAATATGACACCACCTATAGGTCATTGTTAGTATTGGCAACTAGTGCTGATTCACAAAGCAAACCTTTGGATATAAGAAATGAAGCAGGCCACATTTTGAAAACACAAACCTGTAGAGGTGGAGGTGCAGGGCCTGGAGTGAACGGTACCCTCCCCCATATCTTCATGATCTCGCCGAGTGGTTGAAATACTTCATCGCACCCTCTTTTGACTAACAGAGACACTGTGAAGTAACCAGCCTGAAACCACTCAGTCATCTCCTGGTTACTGAATGGACCTGAAGAACCACAAAATGAGCATAGCAGGTTCAAAGGAAATAGGAGCCTTCTCAAAAATAAATGTATTTAAGTCCCATTTTGACCACATAAAAACTATTCCAGTCTTACCCTGTATCTCCCCCTGGGGGTCTTTGTAGAACCATTTGAGAGCAGCTTCATGTGTAAGCGGCAGGCCTGCAGGCTTGGGCTTCTCTGAAGTCTTTGTTGCAAGTCTGTCATCATCCACCACACTGTCCTGTAGGTACGCCACCATCTTTTCTGCCTCCTGGAGGGGAAGTTCTACATTACTCATAACCCTGCTTAAATCAATACAACCTAACATAACAGGGCTGATTACACAACTAATTTTTGACCGTTTAGTTTTTAAGGGAAATTAACTATCATTTATTGGAAAAGGGTAATCACTTCTCTGGTATCATAATATTCACAGTATACTTTCCTCTTCACTGAGCACAAGATTTTAAGAGGTCCTTACAAATCAATTAAAGAAATATTAGGACTGTAAGTGGAATTGTGATTGAGGACAGCAGCCCTACACCCTACTGACAGACTTTCATGTTTAAAGTCTACTAATTTACCTGCTCAAAGTGTTTCAGTCCCTCATCTTCATCTGTGTCATGTGGCACAGGGGTGGGCCTGCCAATAGGTGCCATTATACTCGAAGGGAAAGGCAAAGGATTGTTCATCGCCACAGGAACCTCCATGGGCTTTTGCTGCGGTAGCTGGACACTGGGCGATGGAGCAGATACTTCTGTATAAAATGAGAAATGGAAATAGCAGATATTAGTGAGGTTTCATGGTCGGTAGAACAGAAATGCTTGATAAGTCTTTCCATTTACTGTGAAATTGAAGAACCAATCCCCACCTGCAAGGGTGGTAGAAATGTGGGCCATGGGTAGGGACTCCAGCATGCTGTTAGACATGGGGACGTGCAGGGGGACTTTGCAGGGCTCTGGTGGGTGCTCAAGGGGTGGCTGCCGTTCAGCTGGCCTCTCAGTCTCTTCTGTTCTGCTGGGCTGGCTGGGGGACAAAGACTGGGCAGGGACCTGAGACTCTGAGACTGGGGGAGCAACAGGTGGAGCAACAGATGGAGCCTCCTCGGACACTCTGGCCAACTCTAATAAAAAAAAAAAAAATAGATTTACTGCCCTGCGGTGTATGCCTTTGCCAACCATCCAAGCTGCAGGAAATATGGTCACAATCTCCCCTTCCTGAGTTACAGCATTGAATAATGGCCAGAAGTGTTTTTGCAGAACATTATGATGTCAGAGTGAAGTTGACCTTTGACCATATGGATATAAAATGTCATTTTGTGTTAAATTGTGTCATAATAAGCTTATAAATTTGTGGCCAAAAACGTGTTTTGTGAGGTCACAGTGACGTTGACCACTAATATCTAATCAGTTCACCCTTGAGTCAAAGTGGACATTTGTGCCAAATCTGAGGGGATTCCCTTGGAGTTCTCGAGATACTGTGTTAACAAGTATCGCACCCTGACCTTGACCTTTGAGCAACAAAATCTAATCAGTTCATCCTTGAGTCCAAGTGAATGTTTGTGCCAAATTTGAAGATATTCCCTCAAGGTGTTACTGAGATATCGCCTTCATGAATGGGATGTATGTATGTATGTATGTATGTATGTATGTATGGATGGATGGATGGATGGATGGATGGATGGACAACCTGAAACCATAATGGCTACGGCCTCGGCTGTCGCCGGCACAGAGGCATAAAAACACAATGTTTGAGTGATGAGATGGGATAATAACCAATTATAACAGTTTGTCTCCAAAAAAATGTTGTGAGCCTTTTTCAATCCCATTTCATTCATTAGTGAGATGTTATTGTACACCAAGCCAATGTGGACCAATACTGTGTAATCAGTATGAAATTTGCATATCAGCTCTTCTAGACAGGTGTTACAATAGCAGAATGGCGTAGTTCCCAGTGAAAACACCATTGACCTAGAGGACTAGGTTTGAAATCCCAGTGTTAGTAAACTTAAGTTTCTGTGAATAAGTCACTAAAAAAGCAAATGATCTCGGTGGTGCTTTTCTGTAGCTGAACTTAAAATTTTAGCCATGATGTAGAGTAATGACTAAGCCCAGTCAATTTGATTTCATATCCAAGCTTTTAAGTGCTATTAACAGTTCATTTAATAATAATAATTTAAAAAAAACCCCATAGAAGTGACTGACCTTTACGGTCAGCCTCTCTCTTGGCCTCCATGTCTGTTTCTTTGGTCTCCTTGGGCTGACTGTCCTCCTCCTCCAGGCCTTCTTCACACTCTTCCAGGGGCTTGAAGTCGAGCTCTGCCTCTTCCAGGATTGGCTCCTTGGAGGCTTTCTGATAACATGACAAAGAACACAATTGCAGAAAATCTGGCAACAGTATCATCCCATGAAGCTTTCAATCTTAATAGACAAGGTAATGATCTGCTTCATAATATCTAGCGAAAACAAGCCATTTATACAAGTAAATGGTGCATCAGTACTTAATTTCACTGATTTATTTAAAACTCTCCTCAGATTTCCTTTCTCACCTTGAGAGAGAGAAAGGCCCCTGACGAGTCGAAGGTGCCCGCCTCCTCGTCTGCGTCCTCTAGACACCACTCTGGCAAGCTGTCCCTCTCATCTTCCAGGCTGCCGCTGCCTGACCGTGGCCTCCTGTATCCACGCTCGTCTTCTCTTGCATCAAACGGGAAGCGACGACGCTGGTCTGGGTGTTCCCGCCACCCTGCTGACCGAGGCCCATCTGGGGAAATAGGAAAATAGTTAGGATTGTATAACCAATCTTAATCTCATGACATAACTTAGCTTCATTAAAAGGTGGAAAGCTTTTTGGCCACCAGTAGCATGACTGAACAAAGTGCATCCACATACTTTAATACATGATTATATGCTTGAAATGATTTTCAAGCATGTGCAGGGCAAAAACACTTGGAAGTGAAGGGGACATCAGTGTACTTTTGAATTGTCGCTCTTATATAAAATATGTACCCTTAATAGGTACCCGCTATATGTCATAATATACTGATGACCACAAAGAAAATGTGGAGATGAAGAACATCTCTTAATTCAAGTTGGTTGTATGGTAAAATTTCTATTATCTTGTGCAATGAAAAAACATAAACCCCAGAGCAGTTTGCAGGCTGACACAGAAATGTACCTTATTCTGAAACAAGCCATACAACAAACATGGTGGTACACCACAAATACATTTATCAAAGATAATTTATCAAAGATAAATGTATTGGTAATGTGGTCAGTGCTGTGCCCACCTGGGCTTGGGGGGCACCACCGGTCACTGTCCCGTCGAGAACCCGCCAGTCGCCAGCCCCCCTCATCATCCTCACCATTCTGATCATCTCGAGAAGTACGCCAGTTCTCACTCTCTGAACGCGTGAAGTCGTGCTTCCTCGGTAGACCTGTCCCACCGTCCTCGTAGTTTCCTCGGACTGCAAAGTGTAGTGGGTTGATTAAAAGTGCAGCCATCATTATTACATTCATAAAAGCGAAATGTAGTCCTACTTAATGCTGCCAATCAAGTAATTTGTCCTATTTCCACTAAAAATCTGAACTACCTATTGGTCAATGACTGAAGAAAACTTACTGTGATTCATCTGAAAATGTCCTGGAGCAGCATCTGTCAAGTTTACAGAGAGGAACAAATAGTAGAAGTAAGCCAGTGTATCTGCCAATGAGTATGTCATATATTGATTATTTGACTTAAAAAAAATTTAACACCAACCTGGGTCTTTTCGACCTGGCTTTTCGAACCTTCTATCTCCCCTGGTGGGGAAAAAATAAATAAAACACCCATTATGTAACATCATGACTAAAGAGATGTTTACCTGCTGTCTAGCAAAAACTCAAATTGAAAATCAATTTGTCAAACAAGGTCAGAGTTTTACAACAGATCTTGACACCACAAATAGATCTTTTAATACCTTTCTTCCCAGCTCTGGGAGCGATGCATCTCCCTCCCTCCACGACCAAAACCTTCTACATCATCAAAACTTCTTTGGTAAAACCCTCCATCTCCTCTCCCCCGGCCTGAAAGCAATCACAGGATGAAGCAGCCTTAAGTGTCCCAATAAGATCTAGTTGTTCATGAGTCATTACAACTGTGTAGCATAAAGTACACTATTGGTAGTACATTTAACATTTGATCACAGCACCCAGTTTGGTTCATCCATTTGCAGTGTTCCACAAAACATTCAGATTTCCCACAACAGTTGATCAGAAACTCTATACCCACCTTTTGTTACTAGGAGTCATTGCTGCTTAGATGAGTAAATTGTCTTTATTTTAAATGGTCTACTTTTTTTTTCATGAACACACTAATATAACTGAACTACCATCATCCAATGCACATATTATGCTGAATCATGATGCTGTACTCTCCCTTTCCTTGGTCATCTAGAAGATGTACAACAAACCAGCTCTTGTGGTTTTTAATTCATCTGTCCTCTCCATGATTCATAGGCAATATCCTTCAACAGTGATAATACAGTTTGATTGATGCCAATTATATCTTCTTCTTATTCTCTTTGAGTCAGTTGGCAAACAGCAACATTGTGCACTACTGTTAACTTATGATTTCTTTTACCTATGACTACTTCCCATTTATAATAAACCCTCTCTTAAACGTGGTGACACAACAAACCTTCAATGTAGGTGGTTCAGAAAAAGTTCAATGAATGACCTGACTGTCCAACATGTGTCTTTTCATTTGAAGCAAGCATTAATCTGCATACATACATGTATACATGCATGTTAAGAGCTTCTTCTGATTAAAGTTGACCTTCACTCACAGTCTGGATCCAAAGCTGGGTGTATGAACTGGGACTATGTGAATCCAACACTGAGAAGTTTAGAGAACAAGACCGTACGCGGTGAAGAAATAAATAAATAGTTTTATTATATTTTACATGCTCTCTTTATGATGTATGCAGTATGCTTTATATTAAAATTAACAGCCAAAATATTTTTTGAGCAGTAAACTTCATTTAACTTTTTATTGCACAATTCAACAGCAGGCACTATGTTTTCGTTAGTAAGTGGGAAAAAAATTATAAATTTAATATAAGGGCAGACCGATAAAGGCACAGCCAATGAATTTGCAAGATCATGACCAAGCACTTAAGAGTTGGTCTACAGTTATAGTTATATGTGGTATCTTCCATTTATCATGTTTTAAATTTTGAGTGGCTTTTGTCCTGCTACCTTCCTAGAACTGCAACTCTAAAGTTTGGTTCAAGACTTCTTTTTTTGGCTAATTCCACCACTAGTAGTTTCTAGCATGCCTGAAAAGTCTGAGCAGACTCTGCAGTGACAAACAGGAAAGATGCTGTTCTTAAGGAACACAAGATTTATTTGTTGTCTGTGGCAGAAACTCTAACACAGCATATGGACCCACCAATAACTATACATAACTTAAAACTGTTTAAAACACTTAGGGCTGACTAACAGTAACCCAACAACTCCAAATAGCTCTGTAAAATTAGTATGGAGATTTGACTGACTGGAGGATGTATATAAAAGTGTCCAAGTATGTTCATACAAATAGCACTCTGATTTCAAACAGGGTTTTCCATGTTTAAAGCACATCAATTATTAGTTCAAGCAGCTGGGGTCCAAGTATGCTGAGTAAGCACAACACCTAGAGAGTTCTAATATTACATCCCTTGTCTCAAGCTTTGGCCATATTGGTGGGATTCTTCAAAGGCACCTTAACTATCTGCAGTTGTGACTCTGAAACTGCATAGATAGAATATCTAAATAGCTAAAATTGGCTCATTTGAAAAATGAAATCCACCTTATTGTTTCCACAGCGTAAACTCACCCTGCAGCTAAAGTTCCTGGAAAAAAGAGGGGGAAAAATGACACATTCATATATGATCTCGGTTAAAAATCTTACCTCTACCCCTTGAGGTACTTCGGCCTCTTGGTGCCCCTGCTATCGGACCGCTTCCTCGGCCTGTCAGCCGAAGTACTGCTGCACTGTTTACAGACATGGAAAAATTTCTCTGCAAATACAGACAGGGGGTGGGGGGGGTGGGGACGAACAGCCAACTCTCAGCACTCTTCTTGGCACTTGTTCTTTGTTTCGTAGTCTAATTACTACTTATTCCAAGAAATGGCCAACTGACTAAATAAGTCAGAAACACTTTCTGATCCTATCATTTCTCACCAAGATAGTGACCTGATATTATGACAAGTTCTCCTACCTGTTCCTCCTCTGTAAAAGACACGAGTGCCAGAGGCGGTAAGGGCTCCTCTTGCAATATGGGCAGGAACTCCTTATCATGTAGGTCTATAGGGATCTGGAGGAGAAAATAAACAATCACAGGCTTCACTGTTAAGATGCATAAGGCTTTGAGAGAATATGTTATTACACACCAAACAAGGAAGATGTAAATCTAATCTCAGCAGTACCATAATTTGAATGCAAGTCATGTTGACTGCAAGCCTTCATCAACAGCTAAGATATAGATGTTATACCCACCTTGTTATCCTTTACATAAAGTGCTAACATTTCTTCTCTCCCGTAGCGATAGTCTGCAAGTTTATACTTTGGCAATGCAGGTGAGAGGGGTGGAGAGGCAACAGCGCTGCTGCTTCCACCACCACCGCTGCCACCACCTCCAGACAGGGCACGGAGCCTGCAAAGAGAGAAAGGGTAGTAAAAGCAGAAGGGACAGATGAAGGAGAGACAACACTAAAGCTGAGGTAGCAATTGGCATGTCTGAACATGTATGGAAAAGCTGCACTGGGCCCCAGAAGAAACCAGTTTCACAACCTAAGAGTCACTTCCCTCAGACTAATCATGAATTCATGCCAGTTCAATTACCATTCTGGTCCAAAGTTAAGTGTCTGGGTTTCGGCCATTCTTCCTTGAAGTTCTACAAATATGAAAAGGGAGAAATGGGATTAGAACAACTCAGTAGATACCTTGAAGACATAAATATTGCGTCATTATATTGCATCACATCTAACAATTACTAATGTGTTTAGTGTCCATATAATGGTCCATGAGATGGACTATTTTTCTGAATTGATTAGTGCTCTTTACAAGTCCTGGGCACCCATAATGACAACTCAAAATGTCTTATTTTGTCCAGCCAACAGTCCAAGACCCAAAGATTTTCAACTTAAAATAATACAAAACATAGAAAAGCAGCAAATCCTCACATTTGAAAGCCTGGAAATGGAGACTGCCATTTTACTTGTTTAACAACTGCAAAGATTAATTGAACATCTAAATTGTTGCAGATTACTTTTCAATAAATTGTCTAACTTTTAATTATTTGACAAGTTGTTTCAACTCTAGTTCATAAACTATTGACGCAAAAGTTAGTTGGGTTAAGAGTAGCTCTTCAAAAACAAACAGTAAATTTTGTGTCAGAAAAAAACTTAGTGTATTGCGATACAATATCAGGGTAACAGAATTCTCAAATAAATGTGAAATCAACTTTTATCTACACAAATATTGTTACCTAACCAATGTAATTTGTTTACCACACCAGTTCACATTTTTTTCTATCTTAATGAGAAACTACAGCTATCATGGCACACACAGTTCTGCTGGACAGAATTTGGTAAAGCATTTAAGTTTTTGTCACAGGCTTTAACTCCCCTGGATATATAGCCCATCCCACTAGCAGACACAACTAGTGTACAATTTCAATCTGCTAAAGCTATTTTAGGAAGTCTCCCAGCCTGCAAGGAGGGTATGTCAGACACCTGTAATTGACAGCGGAAATGGTCTTTACTTTGACTAATAATTAAAAATAATCATGTAATGTCAACAAAATTAGTTGTTTGTTTACAAGAGTGTATTATCTCCCAAGACTTTACCTTACACTTGAGCTTGAAAGCAAGGAATTTTTAAGCTGTGAGACTTTCTCAAATATCGGACACAAAAGGGGACAGTAGACTCACAATACCACTGACCATATGGAAGTCGGGGTAAGCCACGTGTAAGTGGGTAGTTAAAGCAAACTCAACTGAAGTGAGCAACATTTCTGACAACTCTACTGAACGCTTCGCACGTTTTCCAGTTTTAAAATAAAGGGAAAGCGAAACGAATGGCTGACTTTCCATAACGTTATAAGTTGTCTCCAATAATTAAAAGCCAATGCTCGCCAACTGGCCAATCTGTTCGAAACACAACTTTTATCCGTTTGGTTACAAACTTGTACTCTTGATAAGCGAAGGGACAGCTAAAGTCAATATGAAAATGACTGACCACTAAGTTCTTGTAAAGTTGTCCAAATTGTTGCCTTATGTAAAATGCTATTGCACCATGTAATGTTATCGCTAGCTAGAGGAAAGCAGGAGCACACAGTTACCGCACGGTGGACGGGCCGACCCATCCTGAAGCTAACGTCGGTTACATTACTGAATCATGCTAAAAGCTGGCTCACAATGATCTATACGAGCCACGATGGTAACTCGGGGGAATTAAGTGGAAACCACCCTCGGTTATCAACATAACGTTAGCTAACACAGCAAGCTAACCAGTCAAAGAAAGAACTAACATGGACATTTCTCAGGACACCAGTGGCTGACATTAGCCAGCGTATCTCCTAACGGTCGAGAGTTGACATTAGGGTTATAGTTTTGTTGAAAGGTGGAAGAAGAGGTGTAGTTAAAGGGCTACTTCCAATATGCTGATGCCATACCATGGTATTTTAACCAACTAGCAAGACGACAGCCAACGGTGGGTCTGCCAGCGCCTTAGCTAGCTAGCAGCGTTTTCTCCCAACGTTGTATCTGTCGTACGCCAAGCCACACACATGTATTGACACCAATTTAATTTCCCATAGGAGGAGAGGTCTTGTCATATATTCTACTAAACAAACGTAACACTGCTCCGGCACAAGTTAATCCCTATTCTCAACACTGGTAGCTAGCACAGGTTAGCTAGCTAGCTACACGCGGCCTTCCGGGCAGACTGGATCCACAACAAAATTTCCTTGTCAGGCCGTCCCGCACTTCACACGGCCCGGACATGCACACACAGACACTGGGGCCCGGTGCTGTTAGGCCAAGTAAACATGGTGGTTTAACAACAGTCCCAAGCACGCCAGCTCGTCAGAATATGACTCTCTGACATGGCACTTTACTTAAATGAACGATTTCCCCTTAGCTAGTGTATTAAACTTTGGCTGTCTTACCTCTGCTTGTTCTGACAGCACAAGGTTTGTATGCGAGTTGTGTAGCTCTCTCTCTCTCTCTCACTCTATCTATCTCTCTCTCTCTCTCTTCGTTTTCCACAAGATGGCTGAGTGTGGGTCACATGACAGCAGATAAAACCCGTATGCCGTGGTAAGATTTGCTGACTGGTACGTATTCACAGACAACGAGGTGAATATGACCACTGTATTTACCGTTCTCATGTTATGTATGACTGCTGTGCACAGTACACAGACTTGTACTAGTCATGTCACATAAGAGCGGGTATTACTTTGTTTTCACACATCCCGACTTTTCAGTAAGGGATATTGTACCGGCGTACATGCCACCCTCTTAGTACAGTATGCTGTGATGTACACAGTGCTGTAAGCTTCTCAAACACGTGTCCCCTCTGAATGTGTATTTAAACGCATCTCCACAGAATAAGAACTGTTAATAACTATTAAACGCTACCGTAAAAAAACAACATTTCGCAATGTTTGACTCTTAAGCAAGAAAATCTTTAGTAGCTTTAGGGAATTCCTGTGCTCATTTGTTAGTGTACAAGACTTTAATATATTTTAAAAACACCGAGAGGGGATAAAGCTCGACAGTGGGCAGTAATGTATCTGATTAGATTATAAAATAGAAATGAAAAGCGTTTCAACATTACTTACCATAATATTTCTAATGAACTGACGCCATATTCTTCTAATCATTATTATCTTATTGTTATCTTATTATATTTTTTTTATTATATATATTTCTTCTTATTATTTATATATATGTATATATAAAAGAAAAAATATATATATGTAGTCCTCGTGATCTTACTGTAATGCTGTCAAGCACATATGGTTGAAGTTCTTGCAGATTTGTGTTTTTGCCATATCTGTAGCTTCAGCAAACAGAAACTTTAAGAGAAACTGCCACGTGAAACCCTTGCTGTGGCTGGCTATGTTTGGCCTGTGTTGGATGCGGAAACTTATATCTATGGCTGTGATAGTGGCTATTGCTTTTGCAGTAATTATGCCTGGTTATTCTTTACATAACCTAAACTGGGCAGCTATACCATTTTCAGCCCACTGAACCATGGTAGTTCACTGCCATGTCATGCCAATAATTAGATAATGCTAATAACGTCCAAACTTTTAAAAGGTTAAAGTTAGCTAGTTTGGGCCAATTTAAGGGTAACTATAAGGTAAACTTCTTAGGAATATATCTTTGTAAAGATTCATATGATTGTATTAACATGTATTGTCTTGTTGGAAAAAAGGAGTAAGATGACAAAATCTAAGTAGAATCTACTTAAAAAAAACTTTAATAACATTCCTGCAGAACTCGTCAATTATGTAGCTGTGATGTAGAAGATAAACTCTAAAGTTCATTTTACCAACTACTGGCAAGACTTCAAAAACCTTTAGGACTGAAAAGGAGTACTTAATAAAAAACGACCCTAGTTCATTTAATAGCTTTCTGGTGGCAACAACTGTACATCGTACTACTAGTTCGTAAATTAGAAATATTTTGGGCCTTTGTGAAAAAAAGTTTTTGTTATTTGTCGTCATTTTGTTATAATGTAGGGTTTATATACAGTGAGTCCACATTACTACGGAATTTAGTTAAGTATAGTTTAAATCATCAACTTAAATTGATTTAATTTTCTAGCATTTAGGAATTTTCTGAAGTCCTACAACTTGGATGTAACAGTTGGCTCGTTGGTCTAGGGGTATGATTCTCGCTTAGGGTGCGAGAGGTCCCGGGTTCAAATCCCGGACGAGCCCTTCTTTTTTTCAACAATTCGCAACAATCTCCCATTTTAATCTTACTTGTGTCTGTCCCGAAGTGTTTAGAGTGAGTAGTCGCTCAACGATGTCCCGCAGGTCAATGATATATGATTGGGTCAATGTGAGTCATTGCACTTTCCTCTTCCAGTGTCACTTGCCAGTGCAAGTAAGCTTTGTTTTTTTTAAAAGGAATGTGAAGTACAGCTAACCGAGGGTAGTGCATTTCTGCAAAATAGAACAGAACATCATCATGGGAAAAATATGGAAAGGATATACATCAAAATACATAGATCAGTTACTGACAGAGAAATCATATCTGTTTTTATTTTGTTTATTTTATTGTATATACTGATATGTAAATTTGATAATCCAAAATTTCACTGCATTAAAAAATAATTATCTTAATAATTAGGTGGGATTGCTGTAAAAGCAATCTTACTTATTTGGCTGAAATATACTAGTAAAGATACTTGTAAATTAGTCAATTTTCATACTTTTGTCTACAGCATTAAATTCATTTTAAATAGATGATCGATCAATCCTTTATCTTTTTCATAGATAGAGTAGTTTGACCTAAAGGCCTTGGTGTTCATGTCCCAGGAACACACGAACCGCGACGTCTTTAAACCTCACCTCAACTGGTTGCACATGCCAACAACCTCATTTGCGGCAAACTGCCGTAAGACCGGTGTGTGTCGCAACATCTGCAGCCACAACAGTTGTGGTACATTCACAACGCTTAGAATGTTTGAAACATTTTAAAGGCATGCTTTCACTTCAAGGAAAACTTTTCAAAATCTTTCCAGGATTCCTGTTAACAGTTGGAGTTGTGTGCAGCCACCTCATTTGAAACTGATGGGGATTTCCTGCATAACTTAATAAAGGTAAGTGAAATTAATTTTAAGTAATAGTGTTTCTCAATACTGTATTGTGAAGAGTTGCCTAAAACGTCATGGTTTGCCCTGCAATGCAAAGTTTATTTTCTTTAGCAAAATTTCGTGTTTCCATAGGGATGCCAGAACCCACCTCAGGCTAGTACCGCACCTTATGGTCAACGACAACCAGCAAGAAATGGTAAGTTATTGTCATGACTGCACCACATACCTGTACGGATTGGCTGAACACAGGGCCCTCTGGAGGCAAGCAAGCTAACTTCCCAGCAAAAGCCTTCTTGATTTGCAAAAGTATTGACCCCGACGTGATTTGAACACGCAACCTTCTGATCTGGAGTCAGACGCGCTACCGTTGCGCCACGAGGTCTTAGTCGCCATAGAGGATAAATGGGCATCATAAAGACAATCCACAATCAAAGTTGCCCCTTTTAATTTTACTTTCCATCTTCGAAATTAAAGTACCATTATCAGAAGACAACGAAACACAATAAGAATTACAACGGAAGATTAGCGTTATATGCATTAGAAGTATCAATTGAAAAAGTGGAGGGGTCACTAAGTAGATACACAAATGTTTAATTATATAATGTATTTATACATAAATTGTATTATGAGGAGGTCCGTATCTGTAGCGTCGTATTTGTCGTGTCATGGTGACTCATCTTAATACTAGTCAGGATACCTCTTTATGCAGTGAAATACTGAAATATGACTGTGAATTAGTCATGTCGGGCCGGTTAGCTCAGTTGGTTAGAGCGTGGTGCTAATAACGCCAAGGTCGCGGGTTCGATCCCCGTACGGGCCAACCTGTTTTTGTGCAAGTTAATACTAGATTCTCTCGCGGGTGTACCCGTTATGTGCAGACATTCACCAGAGTAACGTGATATCAATTGCAATGCCACAATATGCCTCAGCACATTTCCATACTGAATGTTACCGAACACAGCTTTTATGTACGGTGTAAACATGTGCTCCAGAGAAACACTAGGGAGATTTCTTGAATCAGGGTCTTCTCAGTCAAAAATAGAAAGCGTTGGTGGTATAGTGGTTAGCATAGCTGCCTTCCAAGCAGTTGACCCGGGTTCGATTCCCGGCCAACGCAGGATTTTGTTGTTTTTTATGTGAATAGCTATTTTAATGGTAAATAAATCATTCGTTCATTTTGATATCAATAAATCATTTACTAATGCCTTACAGATCAATTGAAACTTACTAACAGCAATTTTTTTGGTTGCCAGGTTGAGGAAAATCCTCCTCCTCCTTTGCTAGTACTTGAATTCATTAGAGACCCTGTCTGTAGATATCAACTCAAAGTCATTAACAAAGGGTACAATGGTTCTCACTTTCTATAAGTCATCTTCTATGCTGTTAGTAAGCCATTCATAAAGGCTAATGGATTTCTTAATTTGTAATAAACTAAACTAAACTAAATTCTTGTGTTCCAGCAGGGGAAAATAAGCCCCATGAATAATAATAATAAATAAAATAAATGTCTCAATATACATTTTCTTGAAAGATTGCTTGTGCTTCCAGTGACCTCAAAGACATTAGAATGAAGAGGTTCCTTTGTGTCATTCACTAACATTTGTGGTTATCACTTCACGTGTAATGAGCTTGTGCTCAGCCTCCCACACTGATAGCTCAAGGTGTGGTGATTGAGGGTAACCATTCATTTACTGTGTTCATTATGTGAACACTGGAGATAGTATGTCACTTCATTACAAGACAGCAAGTCTTGTGATAATTGAAAGCCCCTCTCATATTGTGTTCCCTCCCAGAGCACAAGGCCACAGATTTCTTTTTAGATTCCCAGAAATTCTCCAACACCTATTTTGTTTCACCATGATATCATTTCTCAACTCACATCGCCTATGCACTCACGCCTAAAGGGAGGTGTGGTCAACTTTCTGATAGACAGTACAGAGAACATATAATAACTTCAGAAAAAAAGACCACTTTAGAGTACCGGCTTTACAGTTCAGACTTTATTCCATTTAGTTATATGGGTGGATCCAGGAATTTTTTTTTATCATTTTCCTTTGCACCTTTAATACATACACCTTTAGTGTATGGATCTTGATTGTTTGTCATTGGCGGAGGTATGCGCTCTACTGAGTACCATTTTAGTTACTTTTGCTGTAAGTTCAAACATGGCAACTTTATTGATAATGCTTTGTTTGGATATATGGTTTGGACTTATTCTGATAGAATTACTCTCGCAACTTAGATAAAAAAAAAAACCAACTCAGCTTAGCATCCTGATAGAGGTATCTGCATGGTTTCTACCCTAAGTCAGGAAAGATGAAAAAGACTTATGGTACATTAAATTCATTTTTCAGATTTTTATTTTATTTATTTTTTGTTGTTTTTTTTAAGAGTTTGACCTCCTATAAATCTATCTGGCCTATAAAACCTATTTAAATAACAATCTCAGCAGGTAAAATCACTCTTTTTTCATGTGATCACACTCATACAAATAACCTTTGGGTTATGTGTTAACTTTGCTTCATTTTCAATGGTCACAAACCACAAACAAAGACTACCATAACATAAGCATCAGCTGCATATGTGACACACACACAAACACACACACACACAAACACACACACACACACACACACACACACACACACACACACACACACACACACACACACACACACACACACACACACTCCATATTGACAGCACTGATTAATAATATATCCAGACATGTGGCTTTAGAGAAAGATGGAAGGAGTTTACTTGTTGATCAGGAAATATGTCACTGTTTCTCCTCTACCCAGTAAGTTCATTTGTTATCCTATTCACCGGTGTTAATCCTGCTTACCCTCTTTTTCCCTCTGTTGCCATGGATATGCTATTCCTATGGCAACGGCAGGCCTTTGTGGATGGCCTCGGGCCCCCACCGTAGAGGACTCTCTGAACCTTTCATTATACATTCCCTTCAAGCTTGCAGACAAATCACACAAGTAGCACATACTCTAACTCTGTCTCTCTAACGTCCCCCCCCCCCCTTACTTTCAAGTCTCTGATGCACCACACGTGTCCAAGACAGCGGCATTAGCACAGCTGTTTATTGTTTTAGTGTTCAATTTTTTGTAAATTACACTCTTGACACTCACTGATACTGGATGCCAGTGCTGGTAGGAAGAGGGCTGTGATCAGATTTGTAGCATGCGTATCGTTGTCATAAGAGTCAGCGCCCCAAGCTTTCTAATTTTCGGTGGCAATGGGAACCAGAGCTCCATCTTTAAAGATGCATGAGACGTCTTGAGCAGAGAATAGAGATGGAGGCTCAGCCAGAGAAAGTGTTTCTGTGTCAGACAGACTCAAACAAGGGAGGGGCGAGGCTCATGTAGATGGCAGTATTTGTCGGTGGCAGTGAGGGCCCAAGTCGAACAGAATATAGTGTCAGGACTGGTCACTGTTTGAGTGTGTGTGTGTGTGTGTGTGTGTGTGTGTGTGTATGTGTGGGGCAGGTGGGGGGTCTCGACCTGCTGAATGAACCCCATCAGTGTCGGGGAGTACCATGGGCTACGTGTGGGCTCGGCCCTGCTCAGCATTGTGGCGGGCTGCATCATCATTGGGGTGTCCAGGGAGTGTGATGCTGATGCTGTAGGAGGTATCTTCCTGGGAGCAGGGGGCCTCGGTGAGTGTGTGTGTGTGTGTAAAACTCTTTTTATGGAAAAGACTGACCATTCGTTTAAAGATTTTTACACTGCTAAAGTTGCTGATGTTCTTGCTTTTTACTTTTTTACTCTTGTAGTGTTTTTAACTGAATATTGATGGAATATTTGATTGTGTGTTAGTGGATTAACCATAATGTTCTGACTGGAGCCCTGGAGACCCTGGGTCCTCTCTAACAGCTTAGAAAACATACTAGCATTGTCTTATCCCTCCCTCAGTGACTTTCACAAGTTTTATGAGAATTGCATATATACAAGATTTTGAACTGATGACATGTTTCAGGAGGCTGCTACAGAAAGTGTCAGATTACTTTTGTTTGAAGTCTCAGAGACCCAAGCTGTGAACCACGGTTAAATGCAATGTATTTTCATATGCTCAATACCTGTGATTGGTGTTGACTGTACTTTTTACACAGAAATACCCCCTTAGTAAATTTGAATACATCTTGTTCATAAGAGGTCAAACAGGGAGTTACGTCTCTTTGGGTAATAACTGCCCCCAAATATTAAGTTATGTCACAATGTAGGACAACATATTGTCCATTTCTTTGTGAATGAGATTTTGAACAACAAAAGGAATAGATTATTTTCAAGCAAAGCCCATGTAACACACAAAGCATGACATATTTTCTCATTTGTTTGATTACAAGGCTTCATGTTTATTTCCTTATTTTGTCACCTTTATCAAATTTGTAAGTGGCAAAAGAAAACTTGACTAGTGAAATACTTTTCTATATTTGGGCTTTAATAAGGTCAGAAGAAAACTGTATATTTGAAGAAAAATATGATTGATCTTGCAATTATTATTATTATATACACATATATAGCACCAGGATCTGTAGGACCCCGTACAATGAGGGAGTGAAGATGTGCCAATAACACACAAACGTTAAAAAAAATCTTAAAGTGCTGTCTGGTTAAAGGAGGACACACTCGTCCAACATGCAAACTGATTAATATTTTGTTTGAAAAAAATGTCAGAAACAAAGATCTGTGGTCTGTGACATTTTCCATCCACTGTTCGTGAAAAACACACCATGCCATCATCTGATACAACAGTGTAACTGGAACCAACTGATAGCCAGGGGACTTGCACTGCCAAGATAAAGGAGTGCCTTAGCAGCTTTCCTGGAGAGAAAGAGCAAAGGACAAGGCTTTTGATCTGAGGAAGACAACATCAATATGCATAATTAATGTGAAATATTCTCACTGATGATTTGATCAGCATTCAATAATTAATTTATCTTTCTAGTGTGCACAAGACTTTGGCAAATCAAAACTGTGCACAGCAGTTTGACAGAGACGTTGACTCTGGCAGCTCTTGTGCAGCTAAGTAGCATCTAATTATGTGTTTTGGGGCTTATGTGCCATGATGCCTCCTCCAACACATAGGCTGACTAATGAGTATGAACAGAGTGTTCTCGACAGATTCTTTTCACTCCTTCTGCAGTTTCATGACATTTTAGGCACAGACATGCATCACAGCCACCCTCAGGACCTGCCAGGGTTTAATGCCAGCTCTTCTGGCTTATAAGGGAAATCAATAACTGTGTTGAATTGGAGAAGAGTGCCACTGAGAGGCACACAAGCCCTGCGGTTCAGATATTGGAGTTGAACAGAAAGAAACATCTCACACTGTATCTGGTACACTAAAACTAATCTGAAGGCTACGTCAAGACAGTTACAGTTTGGGAATAGACATTTCATCAAGCAATCTTATTGTTGGTTGTGATGTCTACAAGTATGGGGATTCATATGAAAAAGGGTTTTTTTCACCCCCTGGTGTGGCTCACAGGCATTGATAGCAGTCAGAGTTTGTATTTCAAACACTTGAACTTAGAATCTGCAACTGACTAGATATATACTTTTATATTACAGTGACATTTGATTTCCCCTAATAATGAGATTTTTCTCACAGCATGCAGTACACAATATTTTCAGTTTATTATAGTGCCAAAAATAAATTTGATCGATTATTAGTTCTTTGGAATTGAAGATTGTGACACACTACTAAGCATTTATTTCACCGATAATGATGAGGGCACTATAATAAAACCAGTATTACTTTATCATTTTTCAAATTAATCATGGATTCTGCTTTCAAGGCCTGCTCATATCGATATATCCCTTCATAAAAGCCTGGCTGAACATCAACCATATTCTTCCATCCTTTGGTAAGTTGTTTGATATCCTTATTCATTATTTGAAAATTCAATTTAAAGACTTACAACATAAACATCTTATTGCTCAGTCACATGAGCCATGGTAAAAATGGCAGCCTGAATTTGTTCGATACATTAATTAAGAATAATTGTTCTGTCAATGAAACATTTTGGCTCAGAATATATCTTAAATTCTCAGGAAACTTCAGAGTGCACCCAACGGCTGCCAATCCCGCTCCTGAACAACCAATTGAAATGCTAAGACGAGAAGGTGAGTGTGAGCGTCTGTGCCAGCCTTTCCCTAAACCAAAAAGCCACTAATCAATACAGCTACCACGTAACATTCAAAGAGATTGGGGTTCAGGTACTTGACACTGAACCATTGAGTCTTTGTCCAATATTCGTTGATAACAAATATGACACTTGTTTCTATACAGGAGAGCTAATAGTTAAGAGCAGTGAGAGAGATGTTGTGTCTAGGTGGTTACTGCAGAGCATCAGACATCTCCTTAATATCTCATGGGGTGCAGTTGAATTGTAAAAAAAAGTAGTAAAAAAGTCTCAAAGGAAGACTTAAATATTTCGGCTCTTGTGAAAAGAAAAAGTAGGCAGATAAATTAAGATAAATTAATATGCATATTCAAATAAAAAACTGAAAGTCAATCATTCTTTATCTATAATAGTAATATAGAGGTCATTTGTAGGTGTACATGGTTTAAAAAAAATAATAACTACCAATATTATCAACTCAAATCTTGTTAAAGGAGCTATTTGTAAATTTTTCTATTGCTACATAGCCAACCTTAGCATTGACAGCTGAAGAAACAAAGAAAGTTCAGCAACAAACTTCATTCTTTTCCTCAATCGTGTCCCCAGTGGTTGAAAGTGACGCAAATGTGAACTCTTGTTTTGCTTCTATTTCTATCACTTCTTCTGATGTTAACATGCTAACCAGCTAACTCGAGCCCAGTCGGCCCATCTCGTCACTCTGCGATACTGAATCACTGTAGTATCCAGGCTGCCCTGAAGAGGTCGTGCTGGTCAGAGGGCTTATTCTAACCTCTTGTATAGTAAATGCAACAATGGCTGAAGTTCTTGGCAGTAAGTAAAAGGCTGTTAATGCTGACGTTGGCTATGTAGCAAAAGCAAAACTTACAAATAGCTACTTTAAAATTCCTGTTAGAATTCACTGGGAGGATAGAAGAAATTGCGGTGGATTTGCTGGTTTCTGCACAAGCTGAAGCTAAACTGCATTGGTGCCTTGAATTTGTAAGAAGAAGCAGTTGAAGTAGTATGAAGAGATGGGGAAAAAATGGGAAAAGGATTTGTAGCCTAATTCTGATTGGTTGGTTTGTAGCCACGTTCTGATTGGTTTGTTTGTAGCCGCGCTCTCATTGGATGAAGGACAGTTTCTGAGCATTTTGAATTTTGAATGGAATTTTTAGCTGAACGTATGAATGAGTAGAAGGGATTGAAAAACGCATGAGAAGTTGTGGAAAACTGTAAATTTTGAAAATGTTTATACAGCTTGTAATCAGCTCTAGATAATGGACAAGCCAAGAATGTGTGTGCCCTTTTTCCTTGAGACTTTTTGCCTCTACTGCCAGCCGTCATAGTGTGATACAGCTCTCAGATTTCCACAGACTGATGAAACATGCAATGTTATACCAACTGTTGCTGTGTGTTTATCTGTTCTCTTGTGGTCTTGCAGGGACTCAAAGTCAACAAAATCTGGAACGCTCTAAAAGTCGAATGGGAACCTTTGTGGAGGGCGGACCGATGGCAGAGACCAACCCAGATGAGGGGTATGAGATTGAAACTACTCTTGCAAATCATGTTCTTATTAAGTTGTGAATTAGTGATTTACATACAAGAGTAAGAAGTGGTGAGAGATACATATAGTACAGAAAATTTAAAGGTGAGCAGGATGGGGAGATTGTTCGTGGTACAACACAGCTGACACCAGAGTATTGTCTTCACATCCCATTTGAAGTCACAACCACAGTCTTTTTCTAACCTTAAGGATCATATGTGTGTATGTAGTATGTTCATTAACCACATTTTATGCCACATTATAAAAGTGAATGCGATCATAAAATATGATGATGTGCCAAAAACGCACTTTACTTTCACAAGATTGAGCTTTACACTGATTCATGGACGAAATGATTTATCACTTAATATAAAGGACATGTTACATTTACTTTCATTACATTTCACTGTAATGAAAAAAAGAATTTTCTTTCCAATCTCATCTCAGCATTTCTGTATCTGCTGCACTCTTATTTTATAGCTGATATGAGGACAAGTATATAGTTCACTTTTTATTGTTGAAAGTTAGAGACATTTTTTTTATCATAGCAAAATTGTCAGTAGAATAGCCAACAAAACACCTTACATAAGAGCACGTGTTTTTTTGTTGCCTGCCCAAGCCATTTAGAGGAAAAAAGAGGGACTTTCAAAAGTGATCATTACAAGGTATCACCTTCTTTTCATAGTCAATCACTTTGCATGCTGTTGCTATAGTAACCCAGATACTGGACAGATTTCAGTCATGTCAGATTAGATCATTCATCAGCCAGGCACGCCATGTGTTGACTGGTATGACACCAAACATACATACATATGTACACTGGACTTATAACTAAGACTTTTCACAAATGTTTGAGTGACATTTGTTGTAAGAAAATCTTTTTTAATGCTTAATGTTTTAAACGAAAGAAAAATACATTTTCTTATTTATATCTTTATAATCATGGGGAATAATCCAAATCATTACATTTGTGGAATAAATGTAAAATGTTCTAGACAGTGTCTATTACAGATTTCTAGCGTTTAAAACCTGAATATACTTGAAAATAGCCACTGAGATTTATTGCATTTTAGTATAGGTCAGGCTTTAGACAGTAAAGCCTGTCTAAAGCCTAAATTGTCCAGACTTGCCAGATAATGCATTAATATGCTGTTTATGGTAGTTCAGTCATTTTATAGCTCTGTAAAATGATTGATTCAGAGTTAATAAAATTTTACTCAGCATCAAATTTTGGATTACTCAGGGGGAATAAAGAAATATAAGTTGTCTCGAATGGAAGGAAGTATATTATTTATATGACTCATGCTTTGGTCTGTTTCAGGACGTCTTCAGACATGCCAGACATCTTATCGAGACGGAAACAAAAGCAGTCACCTTCTGATCAAGACCTGCCTTGATGTCATCACATATTATTGAACTTCCCCGCTAATCTTCTCCATTAGGTTTCTTTCAAATGTGAAACAAAATGTTGATTTAAATCTTTCTAATTAATTGTTTTCCTGTTGGATTGTTGTATCAGCTGTCCTGTTTGTTGAGATCAGCTCATGATATTGTACCTGTGTGGAATCATAAACATATTCGAAAATTAAATTGTGATTGTTTGTCATGAGCAAACCAATGCACATGTACAGACACACACAGACACAGACACACACACACACACACACACACACACACACACACACACACAAGTAGCTACATTCGTTCCGTGCACACAGTGAACTGTACAAACTTAATACATTGATATTCAGGACAGCACTGGCAGAATGGCTGCTGTGCTCTGACAAAAAGTGTGACATGCTGTGAGGCTGAATAATACCGGGCCGTGTTGATGGGTCTCAGCAACAGGAGCCCAAGGAGTCTGCAGTGCTTTGATGACAACCAGCAGTTTGATTGTCAGGCCTCAAATCACAATGCCTTGCCACAATCCCTCTGTGTCTGCATGAAGTTAAACCCTGGAGGGACACACACTGAATGTTTGATTGAACAACATCCAGAATGGGTTGAAGTGGTTGACAATTGAGACATGTGAGTATATATTTTTACAAAAAATCACCTGCATGAAAACCAGAAGGTATGTACAATTTTACAATTCTTTAAGCACCCAGCCATACACACTAATCTATCCCAGCATGCACTGGTCAAAAGCTGTGAAGCACCCTGGACCTCACCTTGAAAGCAGTACTTGGAACATTTAAAGGTTCAGTTCACCCAAATCACAAAAAAAGAAAATCATTCAGTAACCTCTAGTTCTGTCCACACACACACACACACACACACACACACCAAGTTGAACAGTGGTAAAGGATGGATCAGTGGGGAGGATGCAGGAGAGTCACATCCAGAGGTGAGGATTACAGAGGAAGGAGGATGAGCTGCGTGGCTGATCAAATATGAAATAATGAAATACGACGATTTCACACCGAGCGCCGGATGCTTCGCGTACATTAGCCCCCCCCCCCCCCCCCCCCCATTTCCGTTGCAGGATGACCTGTCAGGTGCTACGTGCGTCTCGATCCACACCAGGAGCAGCGTTGCGTCCGTGTGTCAACTCAGAAGAAATGCCATCTCACCTAAGTGATCTTCTCTCTCCTACCGGATTTTATATTCCTCAGCAGATTTCCTTGCCTTGTGATTCCGTGACCGCTGATTGAATGGCTGTCATGACTTGTGCCCTCAGGATTGTAAAGCCACGACAGCAGGATGAAAATCCCTCCTTTGGTGCTTATGCGTCCTTTCAACCTCTCAGCAATTACACCCTGTAATTAGACAGAGAATCGCGTTGAAAATCCACTGATGAAACAATGGAAAGACCTTCAACATATCGACTCAAAGGGTAAGATGCTTTTACGGTTTGGTTTTACAGGAATGCAACACATCTGTGCATTTGAATGTGTTCTGAGCAAACCCCAGTTCATACTCAAACGTTGTGTTTGTAGTATAGCTAGGATCATGGATTTACTGACATACACATTAATAGAAAAAAATTAATTTTCTTCACACAATCTCTCTTCATTTGCACTGCAACATCTTGAATGGGTGCATGCTGTACTGAAAGGGCTGGTTTGATTGCAAATAATAATAATGAATAATCAAGTGCTATTCCCTAGCCTAGCTGGCATGAATGAAGCAGCTGCAGTGGCACTGCACATATTTTAAAAATAAATAGGCATTCATGTTAATTTTCAACAAATGGTGCTGCAAGAGTCACAGGGTGCATGCATCTAATTTTACACTGAAGCTTAGTTATCATGTAATTTTGCTTTATTATGTTACAATGTAAACAATAGAATTCCCCATGAATGTTCCGAGCAGTAACCTGTTGTGCTGTTGTTGTTCCTATACTTGTCTTTCTTGTTTTTTGTCTGCCATAGGTACAGTGGGTGCTCTGTACTTTTCTGATTATATATATTTATATGTATTTATGAAGTTTATTTTTAAATTCTAACATTCAGCAATGGTTTCGGATCATGTTGGACAGGCTTCAGGTTTCACCAGTGTAGACAATAGACATACCTACCTGTAGTTCATCAGATATTTATCATAATATGTAAGCTCTCAACCTCTCCAGATATTTGTAATTTAGAGGAGTAGCAGAGCAGAGTGATGAATATTCAGAGCTTGTTGATGGATTACACAGACTCTCCCTGGGAGGACACTGCACTATACCCACAGTGATCATTAGATAGCTGTCCAGTGATACTAGTGTACAGAAGAGCAGTATAATGAGCACTCTTATCAGAGGCACAGTTTTTTCTTTTCAATGTGTGTTTCCAAAGAAACTCTAATATCTGTAATGTGTTGTCATTTACAGACAAAGATGTTTCCATACTGTGAGTCGGACACAGTTCATTTAAACATTACCATGGGGAGGAGTTCGGACTGAAACACAGGGAGATATAATAACACTGAGGAAAAGAGAGAGAGCGAGAGCCTGGAGGTGAAGACATGGTCATCACTGATAGAAACAGCAGCACCCCTGTACCTAAAAAGGAGCCCCAGAAGAAGAAGAGGGGGAAGTCTCGCCCTCATGGCCTTCCCTCTCCGGCACTCTGCTGTGCATGTGGCCTATGCATCATGCTGGCTGGACTCAACATCACTCTGGTGGGAGCATTCGCTTTCAGCACACTGGTGCCTTCTGCCAACCCGCCAATCATCATTGGACCTATCCTACTGCTGGTGGCCTTTTCCTTTTTTGGGGCCTGTTGCGTCTGCAGCCGCCTCCCCCCTCCCCACAGCTCACGTAGGTCTAAGGTGGGCGGCAGGGGCATGGGGTTGATGGGACACGGTGGGCTTACTGGTGGGGCAGCATTTGAAATTGAGACCAGTGAGCACACCCTGCAGGATACTACAGCTGTGCAGCTAAGCCCCACATCCTCTCCTGGATCATCCCGGGCGTCCAGCCCAGAAAAAGAGGCTCCTGATGCGGCCCTACCAGGTTCCTGCAAGCTCTTCACCATGGAGACCAATGGTCCTTCTTCTGTTTCTGCCACCGCAGTCTACTCAGCCTCCACGTCAACAGGAGGGGAGGTGAGGCTCAACCTGCCACGTGAAGAAGTGGTCACCTAGCAGAGCAGAAACTCTTCCAAGGCCGGAGTGCTGGCAGTGTAAATATCCTTCTGGGTCGAGGGCTTGCTGAGTGTGATTGTGTCCTCCAGTCTACGTAGTGCCATATTTCTGGTTGTGACAAGTTCTCAACAGTATGCTTTTGATTTCTCTTGCTGTGCAGCCAACTGGTAATTAGCATGCAAAATTAATGAAACATCCAAGTATTTGTGGATCGTAGGTTTTGGAATTCAAATTCCTACCTCTCTTGTGCTGTTTTCTTCCAGGTCTTTGTTTTTAACGTGGGGCATTATGCACAGTTTTCCTGTAGAAATCAAACAAAGTATGTGAAACCATAAATATTTTATTTTTCACTGTTACTCTGGTTAGTGGAAACCTCAACTGTGAGCAGTGGTTTGAGAGGGCTCTCCTAATAAATGTGATTGTTGATTTGTTCTGAAACTTTAAAGATTACATGTGAAAGGTCTGTAGTGAAAACCAGAGTTGAACTGTACAGGTACGTTTGTAGTGACATTTGGCATTTTGTATGCCATTCTCAGTGCTGAACTTGTTTTGGGGGCATAAAATATTATAGGTCACAGGGGTCCCAAAGCAATATTGTCTCACCTGAGATTAAGTTCTTGGCATTTACAGTTGTTTTCACAAGTAAGTGAGTACACACTATTTGTCTACAGCCAATACATTTGTAATGAACAATGGTGCATATAGAGAAGTGTGTTACAGTATATTTACATGTAACTGTGTACAATGTTGGCTTGAAGAAGCATTATTCTTGTAGTTTGACAAGTTTTGTCATCACACAAACATTAACTGTGAGTATTATGATTCTCACCACATTCTTGGTAGTTTCTGATTTCACATGTGCATTTTTATCCAAAGTACTCGCGACTCTAATCACAGTTTCTAGGTCACATTTTGAGCAATTCCTGTACAGTGTAATGCAGGTAAATTCATGATCCAGGTACATCCAGGTGTCATCTCGATGAGTTTGTCATCAAGAAATCGAATTTATATTGTGATTTGACACAAAAAGAGCATGCTGTCACATTGTTACACAAATGGGAGCATTCTCATTTTTTGTGTCGGATTTGACAAACTTTACCTTGATATATCAGCAGAAATCACCCTCCACTGGACCTATTGTACACAATATGGGAAAGCCACGACACAGTTTAGATATTCAGATTGCATAAAAAAAAAAAAAATTGTTCCCCATCACTGTGATGTCTTCTTGTCAGTTATAAACCTGACTGGTTAAAAAAAGACATTCAAACCCTGATTTCCTTTGAAAGGAAAGTTGCCTTAGACTGAGATATCAGGATCAAACTAATGAGGGCTATATAAAAGTGCACAATAGCAGTTTTCTTCAGAAAGCCTTTGTTTGGCTCTGGATTTCTATTCCATATTGTTAGGAAAGCCTCAACAGGTTTCTGTTTTTGTGGATATAAGAAATGCATGCAAATAGTTTATAAATGTTCCATCTCAGAAATTTATATGCGGTACCAGGAGAGTGAACTCCTGCATACAGACATACAGCCACTGGCCATTCATTATTTGTGACACAGCGCCCGAAAAGGACCAGTTTCTCTGTCAAAGCTCTCTCTCAAGCCAAATTGGAGTGCTGAGCTTAATTTTGCATGTTCAGAGAACTGAATCATGGGAATGCAAACACCCTGTTGTGAACTTTTGGTGTTATCTGTGTATTTTAATTTGTGTAGCACTTCTACAAAAATCTGGAAAAATGTAAAGGATAGAATATTTTTGTGAAGATTATAATTTTGTTTATTTTAAAAGTAACTGATCCAAATGTGAATACTTCAAAAGATATGAATAAAAAGCCTATTTCAGTAGAACATGAGGTTGCTCATTATGTATGTGTGGCATGACACCATGTACTTACTACATTGCATTTTGTGTCATCATGAAGTGAAATGAATAAAAATGTCCAGCTGGATTTGTTATATATTGAGATTTAAAGCAAGTTCAGTGTGATCTTGTAGGGGCATGATGCTCTCTACGCCCATTCACTCCAACAGGGAGTCTATAAAGATTCTGACAGAGCAGTTTGAAAACAACAAGACATAAAGTGTAAATGGTTTCCCAAATGACAAAGAAATGGTTGGCGATTTTATACTTGAGAATATCTTCATGCCATACCAGCTTCCTATACAACTGTGGAAAAACTCCTTCCAGTGTCGCTCTCGGGTTGCAACTAAACAGGCCTATGATTTTCCTTATTGCTTAATCTGCTGATTAGGCCTATATTCTTGATTAGGTGTTTGGTTTATTAAATGTCAGTGAAATAGTGAAAATGCCCATCACAGTTTCTCAGTTCTACAGTTTGCTAGATAGCAGTAAATCTTCACATATGAGAAGCAGGAACCAGCAAACATTTGCGTTTTCACATGACAAATGATTTTAACACTCAACCCAAAATTTATTTTTTGTGATTTGACTAACTGACTAATCAATTGATTGTTTCAACTATATTTAGATCCAATTTCCTGTTGAAATGTAAGATGGGCTGGTTGAAAGGCTGCCATGAAGAACAGAAAATATGGTCCCATCGCATCAAAATGGCCCTGAGTAAAGAACTCAATATGAGCTTCATGTGTCTCCTCTACAAGTGTTTATGTCTGGATTTGAAATTGTTGCCACTGGAGGGCGCTAGAGCCACACGTATGACATAAATTAAAGTTATATAAAATGCCATTTTACATTAAACCATTAGATGTCAGTAGATCATAACAAGTCTGTAATGGCTATTGTTTGGCCTGTCAGAGAGCAAATGGTGTAGTAGATTATTTTCAAGTGATTCTAATGACACTGCAAACTGCTCATAGATTTTTGGTGTGGATAAGAATCATTAAAAATTGCAGTTTTCACAAAGCATTGTTTCTAGAAGTCTGCAAGATAAAAGTCTACATTATGTTTCCAAAAGATTTCTTCTCACTGCCTGAAAACATGACACTTGATTGTGTTAGGCTGTGTTTCTCAGGTGACAGCACTAATTACATCGATGTTATGAGCGTATCATTTTCAATATCCACCGTGCTGATGAAGCTCTCTTGTGCTCATGAAATGATGAAGGCATAGATCTGTGGTGTCCTACTTTCTGAGGCAGCTCACAGATGACAAAATGGACTCAGGACCTTTCTTCTCTATTAGAGAGGCTCCAAGAACTATACAGACGTCAAATTTCACAGTAGAATTGTTGGTAAAACATTAAATTCAGAGTTGCACTGAGAGTGTTACAACCACTGAGTCTTGGTTGACAGTACAAAAAAGGACATGCTTTTTAAAAAAAAAAGAAAAAAAAGAAAAAGCAAAGCAGGTCCTGTTTCCTGAAGGGTTTTAAATAAGTTTACAGTAAGGATGAGGTAAAAAAAAAAAAAAACTGTCAGTGAGAGTTTGAAGTAGCAGATGGTGGGTTGGGGCTGGTCACTGTTACTGGATGAGCCAGGCAGGGAACTCAGCCAGGACACTGAGGCTGTCATACATCGGTAGCATATAATGGGATTTTCTGTGATTAAACTTGCATCAGAACAGTTAATATTGCTGGAAAACATGAAAACTACTGAGTCTCTATTCCACTCAGCCTCCTTCCATTCCTACCCAAATTTCAACCACTTCCAGGTTTATGTTGTGTTACACAAAACATTTACCATGGGGCCACGGTGAAACATGCCCACTTCCTGCATCTTCTGCCTGTTGGCCTTGACTCAAGAGGCTCACATATTAAATGTTTAGCCAGCTGGAGTTTGTGAGATTTACTGCCTTTTGGAGGTGAACAGGTTTGTAGGTAAGCGGCAGCCTGAGGAGAATATTTACATGTTTATGCTCTTTAGTGAGCAAAGGTCAGGGAGACAGGTCATGGTTTACCGCTGCAGTTTAGCTTACTTGTCACAAAAAACAAAAAGGACGTAATGTAAATCAACCTTTGCCTTTTGAACCTCCATGTCTCCCTGTGTCCTCAATCTGCTTTTAAAATCCCTTTTATAAGCATTTTATTATGCCTTTCCATTCCTATTAAGCAATATCCAAACGGCTGTTTTACAGCTCCACAGTACAAGCATGCAGACTTCCTTATTGCTTAAATTAAAGTGCAATTCCTGTCTGGCGTGACTGTCTCATGTCAAATAATGGGTAATGATAAATGCTTTCAGCTGACACACTGTCTTATCCTTTGACCTGGATTACTTTTTTTTTTTATCATATCAGTGATCAGATGTACCCTGTGACTTCAAAATGTTGCCTTTTGTTGTTCCGCAAACAATAAGAACAGAGTACTATGTTTGATTTTCTGACAGAAAATCAAAAAGAAAAACATATAAAGGGACACAGACACACAGGAAACAATGCTGACACTCATCAGACTTCAAAATAGTTTATTTGTATGTTGCATCCACATTGATGAATTGTAGGAACACTTTCAGTATCAGCAGTCTCTTTTCAGTATCACTGTGTGTTACAAAACCACAGACAAGGCAGTCGGTATGTCACATATTATCAGAGTACAGTCCCTTTTTGTTGACATCTTCCAGCAGATTGTAACGTCACTCTTGTTCACACAGATATCAAGCCATAGTAATGACTGAGACTGATGCTTCGTGATGCTAAGATACGGTGCAAACAAGGGGAATGGTCTGGAAATTTCAGCCGTAATCTTGGCGAACATGCACAGCTAACCTCAGATGCAGCCACCGCATGTCTTCTCGTTTGTCATGACGAGATGCTGCACGCTGACAAAACACTGCTGCAGCTACACACACACACAAACACACTCACACCTGCAATCACAAGCATCCCATCCGCTCTAAACCGGTGCATGGCGGATCCTGACGCTCTGTCCATGTGCTCCTGTGTGGATGTACTTGTGTGTGTGAGAACACTCTCAGTTGAATGAGTCGGCAGAGGAGGGGGATGGAGGGTGTAATCAAGCTGAAAAGATTAGGGGAAGACGAGCTGCTGAGGATCTATGAGAGCAGACACTGGTTATATAACCCTAACCTAGTTCACTCCGCTTCCAAAGACAGACTGGGAGGGAGGAGAAGGAGGATTTACTGAACTGGGGTGAATCCTTGTGTTCAGACTAAAATGAACCAGGCCATTGGTTATCTGCATGCACTGTTGGTTCAGATGACAATAGGTGTCAAACTCTTATAGAAACACTGTTTCGCCGGGTCAACAAGGAAGTTATGGATTGCTTCGTCAGAATAAAAGCACTGACTTATTAAGTACAAGAAAATGCATACGATTTGGTTGTTATTGAATAGCCTAAGAGTCCACCTTTGGTTATTACTTCATTGAAGTAAGTACAGCAACATCTCTCCATGCAATGCTGCAAGTGAAGTGTTTGCTCAAGATTTGTCTGCGAGTACCTTTGAACACATGATTTGGTCATAAAACATATCAGGCTTGATTTGCTTTCATTCTAAGTGCCGGTAGGGGTTTTTTTTGGTCCACCATGTGTTATGCAGGGGCGGACCGCGTGACTGCTGTGTTTCTGTTGCTCTCTGTGACAGGGGCAGTCTGAGGGTGACATGGAGAAGAAAGCTCCTCACAGATCAAGAGTGAAGATACAGTGGATTTCGATTAAAAACCGACGAGGGTCTTAATCGTAATGGTACAGTGCTCTGCATACCAATGACTGCTGACAATGGGTCCCTCGCCGTTCTTAACTCCTCCATTCACCCACAGTAAATGGCAGTTTATTCAAGTGGCCGGCCTGTTGCATAACCTTGCTTTTCACAAGTCTATATGTGGGCCCTGGGAGAAGGAAACATACACAGTAGTGAACAGAGACAGAGTCCCAGTGCAGTTCCGTGAGAATATAAAAACACAAGAAAACGTTGCAAATAACACTGTGACCACCAGGACATAGCTAAATGTGATTGGTATTAATGCAGAGGTGGTCGAATCAATCACTCTTTCCTATATCCAGCCATTAACCAAGCCGATCAATGTTGCTTTTCAGTAATGCTACCATGCACGCAGTGCTTGTTTCTCATCACCTCGACTGGCTGTCTTTGACCTGTTCTGTGAATGTTATCCTTTTGCATGTGTCCCACTGTTTAACTGAGCTAATCAATAGACACACTGAAAATAGAACAGTGGTGTGCTAATATTTAAGGGTGACTACTAGACAAATATTTAACTCGTGAGTCCAGCGGGCCAAAGTAACATTTTGTGTTGAGTGGGTTGTGTAGTAAACCCCCCTGACTTGGGACTTGATTTCTGGAACATTGTGTATTTGAACCCTGGTGTCACATCAGGATACTGTATACAGTAAGTGTTTGTATGGCTTATCTCTGATGAGACAGCTGCGTGCTATGGTTAAAGAACGAAACGAGCCGAATGAATGTGGTATTGGGATGTCCTGGGGTGCGAGAATGGTTGGTAAACAACATGTGGTACCACTGGACTCCAGCAGAGGCCCCCCTTTTTCAAAGAAACTCGGTGACAATAAATGAAAACAACTTCTCCACAGCTGACTGCTTCAGACCGGTTTCAGTGCTCCAGATTTATGGGAAGTTGTCATACTCTGAAATTCAACATTACATTGATGTCAGCTGTTTCTGTATTTGCCTTTATGTCACTGCACCACAGTGATCTGGACATCCCTTGTTTATGAATTTGCAAGTGAATAACCTCTGTTTCATATGCAGTAGTTAAACTTGCATAAAGGAAACTCCCATGATATGTTTTTGCAGAAAAGGCAAATAGCTACTTGTCTTTGTCTGTGGGTGCTGTTACGTCTGCTTTTGTGGTTTTGTAATGCCATGATAATAGTCTGCCATGTGGGTCATTTCAGTGGAGAAAGGATGATAGGTAGTTTTGTACTCACCTGTGCACTGTGCAGTTCACCACTTAAATATATATTGCATGGAATAATAATGATCACTAAGAGGTTGCAGTTGAGGAATGACCCTTGATTAAATT